GGAGCCGGGATTGTTGCAAGAGAGCTCCGCCTCCTGTGACAGATCACAGTTGTCCCCTCTGCGCTCCGCTCTCTATCCTGACACAGAAGGCCGAGCCGGGAGGTGTGGGATTAGAGCTCAACCTCCTGCAATGATGACAGCTGTCACCGCCCTGCATTGCTCAGCATCCTGAAACCTTTTCTCCTCCCGCTGGGCACTGGTGCTGCATCGGAAGGCACACAGACCGGCCAGTGGGGAGTAGTGAAGCTATAGTGCACTGAATTTTCGGCCGCATTTTCGGCCATCATGGCACTTTCGGCATTTGCTAAAAGTGCCATTTTCGGCCTAAATGTTTTGGTGGCCGAAATTTAGGTGCATCCTTAGTAAAACTGTTATAATTTATTGTGGGGTTAATCACTCTTTTCTGGACTGAAATTGCTGGGATTTCTGTGATTTTGGCCATTTTCATAAGTAAGTTAACCAGAAAAGCCCTACACTAATCTCAATAATTGACTGGATCACAATAGAAAATATATATATATTGACAGTAAGATTACTATAATTTACTGTGGGGTCAATCATTCTTTGCTGGAGTGCTAATGTTGCCATTTTTGTGATTTAGACAGCCATCTTCTGAACCAAAAAATCCTAAACTAATCTCAATACTTGACTGAATCATAATTTTTTTTTTAAAATCTTCGTCATTGTTAGTGACTAAATAACATTTGTTTTAAAAAATCCTATTTCTGAGATACAGTAAGAATGGCATAATTCATCTGGGAGTCAGTCAGATACATTCATCTGAGATACAGTAAGAATGGCATAATTCATCTGGGAGTCAGTCAGATACATTCATCTGAGATACAGTAAGAATGGCATAATTCATCTGGGAGTCAGTCAGATGCATTCATCTGAGATACAGTAAGAATGGCATAATTCATCTGGGAGTCAGTCACTTACTTCTGGACTGGTAATTCTTGTATTTGGATGAATGAGAAAAGCCTAAACTAATCTAAATAATTGACTGCATAAATATAAGAAATACTGTATATTCTGTGGCACTGTAAAAATTGTATAATTTGTTTGTGGCCTAATCACTAACTTCTGGACCATTTGTTCAGAAATGAGCATTGTGATATGTGTACATATTAAAGACCCCCTAATGGTTTAGCCAGATCAAGCAAAGTGATATTACCACATAAACTTTGCAAAAGAGACAGGGAGATTAGCTAAATATTAGTTTATGTTGACAACCTTGTTAAATGTGCTCAATTTCCATCACTCTCACTAAAGAGACATGGCTAAAGTCTACATACCTAATGTCAACATCTTGAGGTCTGCTTAATACAATGATTTCAGCTCTGTAGCATAGGGTCATCCTCATCATACTTAGTGACCCAAAATTCTTGACCATTTACAGTGTATAAGCCGAGGCAGGCACTTTTCAGCAAAAAAAATGGGCTGAAAAACTCGGCTTATACTCGAGTATATACGGTATGTAATTGTCCTGCCATCTGTTTCTTCACTGCCCTGTACATCTTGCATCTTGTTGCACCAAAATGTAGAAATTAGACGGATGATTATATTTTGTGTTACAAATACAATGCAAATAACTATTCTTTTGCGTTAATTTGTGGCATCAAAATAAAGGCATTGTTGTTGGATGAAGATTGTAGGTGTTTGGTGTTGAAAAATGTGACAAGTTAGTAAGGGAGGGCTGCCAGACCTGAAATTCCCTTGTGGGCCTCAGAGTCCGAGTCCATCCCTGTGTTGCGCTCACCCCCGAAAGGAGCCGCTGAATGTACCAGGTATTTCTATCCCCCTACACCAATGTACCGCACAAATGTGGATCCACAGCACACCAACACACCTTTGAATAGTTTTATAACAGATTTAATGACCAGACAAGATATGAACGTAAAATGAGGCAATTATAAACCCAACAATCACATAAAAGATATTCAGCAACAGGCTAAGGCACTCTGACACTCAGTAACCACAGCAATCTAATGCATGCACTGGTGAGGCCAAACTGTCTCAAATGTTTCCCTTGAGCTGGGTATATGTTACTCTAAGGCAGTGGTTCTCAACCCTGGGGGTCGGGACCCCTTCGGGGGTCGAATGGCGATTTGCCAGGGGTCGCCTGGGGGCTTCTGGCCACCCAGTAGAGAAGCGCTTTCTCTGCTCTTTTTTTTTCTGACATCGGTCCCGCCGTCAGTCAAAAAAACTTTCTCATCGAGCAGACTAAACCTTTCCAGGAGAAATTTTTTTGGTTTTTTTTCCCCTATAGGGTTAAAAGTAAACCTGCCGCTCAGTGTGCACAGTGAGAGGGGATAGCAGTCTTCCCCTCTTACCTGTCACAGAAGTTCCAGCACAATGCTGTGCTAGAACTCCTGTATTGTAGGTGACAGTGTCAATAAAGAGAACCTCTCACCTCCAATTGCTATTACACAGGGGCTTGTTACCTCTGTGTGATTGCAATGAAGTTAAGTGGAAAAAAAATAGATACAATTATTAAAGAAATAAAAGAATTAAAAAATAAAAAAGTGATTAAAAAGAAATAAGAAGCAAATTATTAAAAAATAAGAAAATTATAAAAAATAAAACAATAAAAAGGTGAGAGTCCTCCTCAGCCCTCTCCTAGCGCAGCAGTGTCAGTTCATCCCGGTCCCGGCCCTAGAAAGGTTGAGAACCACTGCCCTAAGGTCTCCCATTAACAGTGTCCGACCCTCTCTAGACTACTGGCCAGTAGTAGTGTCCTAGGCTAGCCAACGTTGGGGCCCTTACGGTAGTGCAGGTATGAAAAGTAAAGTGTCACAGTGATGTCCGCACAGCAGCCACGTCACTGGGTCCTATTCAGGCGCTCCAACTCAGGCCTTCAGGTACAGCAAATGGATACAGCTTCTCCTTACACCGCTGCACAGAGCCTGTGTTTTCCTGTATTTCAGCGGTAAACACATAGCTTTGCTACTTACAGTCTTAACCCACACAGGGTTACACAGATCTGTCCTCCTCGGTCGGCTCTCCAGACTGAGCCCGCTCAGCAGCCACAGCCCATAGTCCCCCTCCTTTCTCACGCACAGCCTCCTGGGAGTTGCAGTTTCAGAGATCATTCTTGCAATGTCCCAGTCTCTGCTCTGCACTGCAATCCCCATAAGTTTCCGCCTCCAGGACACACAGAGGCAATTAACTGTTTGCAGGCAGGAACATGAATCACTGCAATAGCAGATTATTATGACCACCTGACGTTTGAAGGCAAATTAGCTATAATTTCTAGAGCTAGAGGGCCAGACCATTATAAATAGGGAAGCAGGTTGTTTACCACGACAGTAGAAGTGATTTTTTTCTGAAGATATGGAGCAAGTAATGTTCAAGAGCAGCTGTTGTTAAAGTGTTTAAAGACTCGACTGTCAGCCGAAAATCTGGGTCTGAACGTGCCAATTGTGGCCGTCAGCGACTAGTCAATGTTAGGGCAGAACGGAGAGTGGCAAGACTGGTACAAGACAACAGAAGGGCAACAGTGCATCAAATTACTGCAGATCTTAATCAGGGATCCTCTCAAATGATCTCTGAACGAACTGTTCGCCGTACACTGCATTGTATGGGATATGGAAGCCGAAGGCCTGTTCGAACACCTTTGCTGTCTGCAGTTAACAAGATAAAACGTCTCCAATTCGCACAGGAACACAAGGATTGGACAGTTGAGCATTGGAAAAAAGTCATGTGGTCCGATGAATCACGTTGCTGCAGATGGCAGAGTGAGAATTTGGCGGGAACAGCATGAAAGCATGCACCCCACATGCATGAGTACAACCTTTCAAGCTGGTGGGGGCAGTGTTATGGTTTGGGGCATGTTTTCCTGGCATGATTTGGGCCAAAGTATCGTTGCTGATCAAGTTCAACCTATCATGCTGATGGCGTATCACAATGGAGATGGCTTCTTCCAACAAGACAATGCGCCATGCCACGCTGCTCGTATTGTGCAGGAGTGGTTTCAAGAACATGAGGGAGACTTTACCTTGCTTAGGTGGCCCCCACAATCACCAGATCTCAATCCAATTAAGCATTCGTGGGACAAAGTTGAAAGAGCCACCAGGCAGCTGGTTCCACAACCATCAAATTTCACAGAACTGGACACTGCTATTCATCAGGCATGGTGTCAGATTCCTCGCATCACCTTTCAACATCTCGTGGAGTCAATGCCAAGAAGTATCGCCGCAGTATTGAAGGCAAAAGGGGGCCCAACAAAGTACTGATGGGGTGGTCATATTAATCTGGCCACTCAGTGTATATACATATCTATATAGGGGCTACACCTGCCTCTCAGCAACTGTCTTCACCACTATAAACAGAACACCATGGGTGGCAGTGCATATTAACAAATCACCAAACCAAAAATCCTAGTCATCATTGAGACATAAGGAGGTGTGCAGACAGCTGACAGCCACTCCAAGTGAGTAGAGCGCAGATGTGAAGGCCATGGTTCTTCACATGTGTGTATTGGATGCCTTAGTACTGCTTGTAACAGATTCTAGCTGTCATTTTTCTGAAGTCTGTTCATAAATTATCCTGATATTGTAACTGATGTGTTGTTTTTTGTTTTTAAACTTTTTGCACAATATTTAATGTGTTGTGCACTATGAAAATATTGGCTGCAGAGTTGTATAGATCAGACCTTTTTCAAGTATATTATTTGTATTATTGTTTGCTGTTCTAGTGTCAATATCTTAACATTTTAGAAACCATGGAATTCTGAGACCTGAGGCACAAATTTATCAAAGCTGATACATTTTTAGCCTGTTTTGCAGGAGGGCGCTCTTCACTAAGCTTTTCCCAGTTTTATAATAATACATTTACCAAGACTGTATACACAAATTCACAACATTACTTAGGGGATGACAGTTACCAAGGCAGTTAAAAGGTGAAAGGTATGAAACTCGATCTTTTCACAGTTCAAAGTACAAGATTGTCCTTGGGCAGCATGATTCTGAAATATACACACCTTGGTGTACTTCATTGTTTGTGATCTACTGTTCAACATGCAGGTACAGTCCACGCTACTGTTCAGAAGGATGTCTGTGCCAAAGTCGGTGTTACTGGCCATCCCTGTTCTATGGATGCTGAAACGAATATTCCTGCCTTACCTGTGGCAAGACTTGAAGTTTTTCTACAGAGCTGCCAGCTATATGAAGAAGATAGCACAAGCACTCAAACAATGCCCCTCATTTGGCATGCTGGATATTTTTCTGAAACAAGTTGCCACTAGACCTAATCAGGCATTCATTTTATACCAAGATCAATCGTATACCTACAAGGACATAGACCTTAAAAGCAATCAGACTGCATGGGCTCTGAGGGAGCATGCAAAGCTGAAAAAGGGAGACTGTGTTGCTGTCTTCTTGGGTAATGAGCCTGCTTATATCTGGATTTGGCTAGGACTGATCAAAATAGGTTGTCCCATGGCATGTCTAAACTACAACATAAGGTCTAAGTCCTTCCTTCATTGCTTCAAGTGCAGTGAAGCGAAAGTGATCATCGCTGCTCCAGGTAAGCAATTCAAGTGATTATTTAAGCTTGAAAAAAGCTTTGAAGATGTCATACAGCAAGCAGTGAATAGGACATGTGTGTTAGGATTGCAAAAAACCTGGGACACCCTTGGGTACACCAAGGGCAAGAATGATGCACAGCTGTGCTGATAGTTAGAGGCATATTTAAAGAGACTGAGCATACTAACTGTACTGCACACATGTCAGAGTTCTTTTACCCACAAAATGTGCTTTATTTACTGAGCCATAAGTGACAGTTTCACAGACACATATAAACCTCAGCGCAATAAATGATAAAAAAAAATTAACTCCTCCATTACATATGCTTTTTGCACAAAGACAATATAGACAGAGAGCTAACACTTTGTGTGAGCCTACCTTAAAGAAGCACTTAAAACAGTTGGAGACTACTTAGCAACTGGCAACTGGGGAGACAATGAACACTTTGGTCAGCAGTATGTAATTGCAGTATAGCATATAGAGTGCAGGGGTCAGGAATGTATTATGTTCAGAGTGCAGTGGTCAGAAGTATTGCTGGGAAAAAACGGCTCAAATTCTGGCTGTTCAGACACAGAGTGAAAATCATGTGATTACCTTATCTACAATAGCAGTGGGGATGGAGCACTAAGACTACAGAATTCTGACTTCTGCAATGTGTATGCTGTGTTGTACGTTGCATACTTCTGTTCACTACCCCTGTATACTGCCCTATACATTATATAATCTTCAGCATCTTTAAACAAGGCTTGAAATTACATACTTCCCAACACTATAATCAGGGCCGGATTTACTCTCTCTGCTGCACCAAGGCCAGGTTCCTCAATTCGCCCCCCCCCCCCCCAATGGAGAATGGCAGACCTGCAGGCTGCATACAAGTGATCTCGGCGACATCGCTGTACATTTAGCCCTGCCTGTCCAAAGCAGGGCTAAATGTAGAAAACAAACTAGCCGCCAGGTGACCGGAGCTGCCTGCCCCGGGCATTGGGAGATAGGAATTCCACACTTCTGCTGCCCCTCTACTCCCTGTTGCCCCAAGGCCGGGTCTTGGTTGGCCTTGTGGGAAATCCGGCCCTGACTGTAATCTGTCAGCTGTGCTGTACAGTACATACTCCTTAACTCTGAATGCTGTGTTGTGCTTTGCAAACTCCTCACTGCTGCACGCACACAATACAGAGTGGTTAGGATGATGTAATGTATAGCACCCCCATACAGAATGCAGTGGTCAGGAGTATGTAAAATACAACCCAGCATGCAGAGCGCAGTGATAATAAGTATGTAATGTGCAGCTTAGCATGCAGAGTATAGGGCATACAAACCATTGTACAGAGTGCAGCATTCAGGAGTATAGTTCAGCAGCCATTATTATGTAACATACAACAGTAAGAGGATGTAGCAAACAGCACAGCATACAGAATATGACAGTCCGGAGTATGTAATGTACAAGGTACATTATAAAATCCTGACTGCTGCACTCTGTATGACGTGCCATACATTACCTCCTACAAATAACCACCCTACAAAAGTAACCGCCCACTGCTCATCTTTGCACCCCTCTTTCACTGTTTACCTCTGCACCCTCATCCAAAGCTCACATCTGCACCCTCCAATCTACACCCCATCTCTGTGCTGGCTGCCCACAGTTCACCTCTGTGCCCCCATCCATAGTTCACCTTGGCACTCCTCTTCATAGCATATCTCCGACCATCCTTCAACATATCACATTTGGCTCCCTGTGTCCACCGGTGTCCATAGTACAGCTTCTGCTTGGATTGCCGCACGAGTCACTGCGCAAACATATGTATGAGTAAAGCATTATGATGCCAAAATCACGCACACATGTGTGCATGTACATGGATGGAGACACACGTGTATCCACAAGAACGCCGTGCACTTCTATCAAGTCAGGGCCAGTCACCTAGGAAGCCAGTTCCGTTTCTGTTACCATTGAGCCCAGACAGCATGAGCTGCTCTACTTGGACATCATAAACTCACCCTTGTTTCCTGTCATTCTGGAAATGCCATGTCTACAAGCCAATAATCATCAAATAAACTGCACTGCAGGAGAAGTAACATTTTAATCAGCATAACTGTTTGTGGCCTGCTGTTGGGCAAAATTTGTTCCTCTGTCAGCCAGATATTCCAACCTATGCCAGAAGGTTCCACAGGCCTACCACAACTTCCTAGACATGTGTGACAAGCAAAGAGCTGATACTCTTCCACCACACCGAACGTATGATTGCCCAATTGAACTAATAACAGGGGCTGAAATTCTGTTTTTTTTTTGGAACCCAAACTTAAGGCTCTTAAAGAGTACATTGATAAAAATCTAAGTAAGGGTTTCATCCACCCATCAAATTTCCAGCTGGGGCTGGAATATTTTTTGTGAAAAAAAGACAGTACATTTCGTCCATACGTGGATTATAGAGAGCTCAACCAGATAACCGTAAAAAAAACTTTATCCACTTCCACAGATTATAGACCTGTTTCAAAGGCTCCGCTCAGAAACCATTTTTACCAAGTTGGGTCTACGAGGGGTAAACAATCTTGTTCATATTTAGGAGGGAGATGAATGGAAGACATCTTTTCGTACACTCTTTAGACACTTGCAGTATCTTGTCGTGCCATTTGGTCTCTGTATTGCTCCAGCCACATTTCAGCACCTTACGAATTACATTTTTGTGACTTTGTAGACCTATTTGTGATCTTGATGATATCATCATTTTTTCTGCCTTCTTGGATCACCACTGAGGGCACATAAAGCAAGCCCAGACTCAGGTTGCATGGACTTTTTGCAAAAGCTGAATGCTTGTCACCCGAGGTAAGAACAGAAAATTGTGCACCCAAACAGGCGTGTTATGTCACCCTATGCCACGCACGCACGGCGCCATTTGACGCCATGCGCCCCGCCGCCAGGATGGCAGCACCAAATAGCATAAAAATTTGTTTCGTTTGACGAAACTAATGACTTTTTTTAAAGTTTCTGTTCATTTAGTCTTTGCACATGTCTAATTGTGTGTGTGTGTGTGTGGTGGGGGCGGGTTCTGGGGGCTTCGAGGAAATGTCAGGGGTCTAAACAGACCTCTGACATTTACCTTGTGAAATAGAAAAAGAGATTGAAGACACAGAGTCCTCTGCCCATGCAGCGGGGAATGCGAGAAGCTGTGTTGGACGTCTGGCGCCCCTGTTGCCAATGGCGCCCTGTGCTCGCCATGGCAACAGAGGAGAGGGGGCGCAACCAGGCTGGCCCTGGCTACGCCCCCTCTCAGCTGCGCCTGGGGTGAGTGCCTCACTCGCTCCGTGGTAGCTACAGCCCTGGCCCTGCCATATATTCTTGAGGCAGATGCTTCTGAGATCGCCGCAGGGGCAGTTTTGTCACAATGCCAAATATATAATTCTCTCCTATACCCCGTAGCATTCTTTTCCAAAAAACTGAACAGCACAAAGAATAACTACAATGTCGGGGACCATGAACATTTAGCAATCAAGCAGACGCTGGAGAGTGGCGGTGTCTGCTGGAAGGGGCAGTTCACCTAATATTGATCTTCACAGATCATAAAAATTTAGAGTATTTGAGATCAGCAAGGCAACTGGGACCTTTGCAGGCAAGATGAGTACTCTTCATTTCCGAAATTTAACTTCCACATCACCTATCATTCAGGCTCAAAAAATAGGATGTCTGATGCTTTGTCATGCATGTTTTCTAAAGCCAATTCCCATTTACAACCCAACACCATCCTGCAGGCTGAAAATTTGGAAAGTTGCTCTGGCAACCTCATCTTATTTTGCAAATTCGACAGGCATCATCTGGGGATGTGCTTCCTCAAGGTTGGAGCTTGTGAAAGAGAGATGGACTGTTTTTTCCTAAGAAGAAAATATTTGTACCCCAGGCTCTCCGGATTGCCATTCTGGGAATCTGCAGTGATGCGTCAATGGCTGGACAATTTGGGAGTCGTAAAACTTTAGACTTGATGCTATGACTCTTTTGGTGGCTCCATTTTAATTTGGACTGCAATAACTATGTAAATGCATGCAAGACGTGTATCCGGAGCAAGGGTGAGAAAGCCAGGGCCTGGGGTCTACTGAAATCTCTTCCGGTTCCACAAAGACAATGGGGCATGATCTCAATGGATTTTATTGTCGAGCTTCCCCCTCAGAAGAATTTCCTGCAATTTTTGTTGCTGTAGATTGTCTATCTAAGATGAGGCATTTTGTTGCCGTGACGAAAATTCCTACTGCAGGTGAACTGGCTTGTACATTTATTAAATAAGTGGTGAGACTTTGTGGTATTCTCAGCAATAGTGTTTCTGATAGAGGGGGACAGTTTACTTCGAGATTTTGGAAGGCATTATGTGAAGCATTGGATATTAAGCTGCGTTTCTCATCTGCCTATTACCCGCAGACAAATGGGCAAACAAAGAACCAGACAAATGTTGGAACAATACATTCACTGCCTCTCCTCATTCCCTTAAGATATTTGGGTATCCTTGCTTCCTTTAGTTGAATTTGCCTACAATAACTCTCTTCATTCAGCTATCAACCAATCCCCATTCTTTAAATCAGTCAACTGTGCTGGCGGTCCAAAGGTATTTAAACTTGTTTAAATTTAATAATCATCTACTGCAAGAAGCAATGGCCAGAGGCATAATAAAGGCATTCAACAAGAAACGAAAAGGGGATTTCAATCTTAAACCAGGGGACCAGGTATGGGTTTCCACAGGTAATTTAAAATTACCCTTCCCGTTTGAGGGGAGAATCAAATCAGCTGCTTACAAGCTGAAACTGCCTAGCTCGTATAAGATTCACCCTGTATTCCACGTGACATTACTAACTGGAAGGGGTATGGTACTTGTGAGAAATCCAGGCTGTGTATTGCCAACGCTGGGGAATGCTGTTTATTGTGGGTGTGGGGGATTGCACTGTGTGTATGTCTCTTTGTTTATCCTCCCATCCCCCATCCACACCTATCTGTTAAACTAATCAGCCCATTGTTAGACTCTGTGCCATGATGTTTGGCCGGTTAACTCGAAGTGTGTATTGGGACAAATCAGACTCCTACAAAAGTGGTTGATACCGGTTTGTTCTAGACCGGGAGGGGGTGGGTTTCTTTCTATAAAACTCAAATGCTTTGTGTTAATAAAGGCTTGTGTCATTCTGCTTACCTCAAAATGAGTGCTGCCTGATTCTTGGGGTAATGGTAACAGCGTTTGGAATACGTTCCATTTGGGAAGCCATATCACTGACGGAGGTGCTCAGTCTGAGTGCCAGGGAGTCCGTCACAATTGGTGGCAAGCGGTGGGATGCTTCCCTGCACTTGGAACATCCAGACCACCACCGGGACATCGGAGGAGGAGGATCGATATAGCAGACTGAAGTGAAGTACACTGAAGGACTTACTTGAGTCCCGAGGAATCAGTGGAAGCTGCAAGACTAAGGCGTCTCTCATCTCAGAACTCCTAGAGGGAGATCGTACCAGAGAGAGGATGAGCGATCCGGTCGAGGGGGGCGCTCAGCTCACGGAGCTCCAGCGGGATATCCAGTGGAAGCTATCTCTGTATAGCACTCCACCTGACTCAGATACCATCACCAAGCTCAACTCGGAGGCTACTGACCTAAGACAGGCGTAGGCTCAATGAGCGGGAGACCGACAGACAGTGCCCGATGGAGGGAGCCGGAGGAAAATACCGTTTGACTCATTCCGACGCTTCCAGGACGGCCAGGAAGACATTGATGCATACCTGGAGCTGTTTGAGATGCAGTGTGACATGCAGGGAGTAGAAGAGGCTGACTGGATGAAGATCCTGATCAGTAAACTGTCCGGTCGGGCTTTGAGTGCCCTCGAATCTACTCCTGCGGAAGACAGAAGGAACTACGAGTGGGTGAAGGAGAGGATCCTAGCCCGCTTTAATATCACCCCGGAAGCTCATCGATTAAAGTTTCGAGGGCTGCGGAAGGAAGCCGAGCAGCCGTATACAGAGCTACACACCAGATGGCCCGAGCCGTGGATGCCTGGTTCGCGGGATGCCAAATCACCACCATGGCGGAAGCTGCCCAGCTCATCTTGATGGAGCAGCTATACGACCAGTTGCCGGTCAAAATTAGGGATTGGGTGAAGGACCGAAGACCGCTTAACATCAATGAAGCTGCAGTCCTGGCAGATCAGTATATTGATACCAGGAGGCCCCCTCGACCTGAAGCTCGACCAGTCAGCAGACCATTTCAGGCGGGGATACCTCGTCCCCCAGTAACAACAAACCGCCCACCGCCCTCCTACCCTCCTCCTCGGGCAGCGCCTGCACCCCTTCTCCGATCGGATGGGAGAAGGTGCTATACATGCAATCAGGTGGGACACATGCGGAGCATCTGCCCCCGAAATCGCCCGCGGTCTCCGCAGTGGAACCGAGCTACAGCGGGACCCCAGAGAGCAGCAGCCCATTTTGTAAAGGAGTCCCCGGTAATGATCTTAGGAAGAGGGGACAAGGAGGAGTTTGAGGTGCTCCACGAAGTGAACCCTGTGCAGGCAGCCGCTCTAGATAACCGCCAACACCATAGGCAGCCGGTGAAAGTGAATGGACGCCCCACTCAAGGGCTCCGGGACAGTGGAGCCACCATCACACTAGTACAGCCGCGGATGGTGAGATCTGACGACCATACAGGACGGGCCATTACAGTACGAGTGGCAGGGGGAAAAATCGTCCGAATTCCGACTGCCCGAGTATACCTGGACTGGGGAGCCGATAACCGCAAACTGGAGGTTGGGGTGATGAGGAATCTTCCTGCAGACGTCCTGCTCGGAAACGATCTGGGGATTTTGGCTTCATCTTTCGTAGCGGAGTCCTCATCCGAGGCATACCGGTGACCACACGGCAGCAGTCCAGACAGACGAGCTCTACATTCGATAATGGGACCCAGATGGCTCTACTTTCAGGTTGGGAGCAGTGCTGAGCCAGGTGGGTGCCTACCTCAGCTGCAAGTTACTACCCCGGGAGGTGGGGTACGCGGATATTGAAAAGGAGTGCCTAGCGCTGGTATGGGCTCTGAAGAAACTACAGCCGTATTTGTATGGACGATCTTTCACGGTGTCACCGACTATAACCCACTGATTTGGCTCAACAGAGTCTCTGGAGACAACGGACATTTGTTGCGCTGGAGTCTTGCCCTGCAGCCTTATAACTTTACAGTGCAATATCGGCCGGGAAAGCAGAATGGAAACGCGGATGGGCTTTCCCAGCAAACTGAGATCTAGGACTGTGCTCCCGGACATCCCCTGGCTGACCAGTGTGGGTCTAGCCGGGTCTGCCGGATTATGGAACAGTGGGGGAGTATTGTGACAAATCCAGGCTGTGTATTGCCAACGCTGGGGAATGCTGTTTATTGTGGGTGTGGGGGATTGCACTGTGTGTATGTCTCTTTGTTTATCCTCCCATCCCCCATCCACACCTATCTGTTAAACTAATCAGCCCATTGTTAGACTCTGTGCCATGGTGTTTGTCCGGTTAACTCGAAGTGTGTATTGGGACAAATCAGACTCCTACAAAAGTGGTTGATACCGGTTCGTTCTAGACCAGGAGGGGGTGGGTTTCTTTCTAAAAAACTCAAATGCTTTGTGTTAATAAAGGCTTGTGTCATTCTGCTTACCTCAAAATGAGTGCTGTCTGATTCTTGGGGTAATGGTAACAGCATTTGGAATACGTTCCATTTGGGAAGCCATATCACTGACGGAGGTGCTCAGTCGGGGTGCCAGGGAGTCCGTCACAGTACTCACCTCGCCTCTGTACCTCTCCCCAATCCACAGATTTCCCTTCACTGTATCTCCTCCCTCCATCCACAGCTCTCACCTCTGTACATCCCCATCTTTATTCCATTCCATCCACAGTTCTCTTCTCCCTCTATATTCTCACCTCTCACCTGTGCACCCGACCCCATGTCTCACCTGTTAGCACAGCTCTGTGGGTGGGTTTTTTTTCAATGCAGTACAGCTCCGCAAGTCAGAATATGTGGAAGCTACACTGTCTTTTCAAGACCCCTGTGTAGTGTGGTCCTAACTCTAACCTCTGAGAGCCTCCATTTTGGAGCATATATAGCAAAGAATGAATTGGGTGCAGGTTCGCCAGTAGGCAGCCCAATGATGGTCGCTAAAGTGACCATCAGCTTATAGTAGAACTGTAAATGCCAGGTCCGTACGACGTACTGAGCTGGCCAGCTGGAAGCACTTTTGTAGCTCCGTACGACGTACGTCCTTGGCAGCGAAAGGGTTAAAGGTACAGGGACACACAATGAACCCCAAGTTTGCCATTCGTTTCGCTTGTTGTATTTGGTGCAGGGACACACTGGGGGCTTCAACTGCCATTGTGATGTGTGGGGTTCCTTGTGGGTCCTTGTACCTTTAAGAAGGTTGGGCTGCCTCCTGGTGAACCTGCACCCAATTCATCCTTTGTTATATATGCTCCAAAATGGAGGCTCTCAGAGGTTAGAGTTAGGACCACACTACACAGGGGTCGTGACAAGACACTGTAGCTTCCACATATTCTGCAGAAGACATGCAACTAAGACCTCTGTTTTTAACTGTAATAGTTAGACAGTGTTTTTTTGCAGGCTGGCTGGTGAATGTGCTGGTAAACGTTTTGTTGTTGCACTGTTTAAAGCCCTTCCATGTGCACCTTGCTGTAAAGCTGGTTATGAATTGATGAGTGTGTTTGCTATTCTTTTTTCTTACTCCCATGCAATAAGGAACAGCTACTAATCCAGAGAGTATTTCATTCTAACGTACAACCCCTAGAATAAAACCCTAAACTCAGAACAAAGTATGCAGATTAGTAGTTCTGACTTCACTCTGATTTTCCTAATCTGCCTGCTTGTTTTAGGTTAGCGACTCAAAGAGGAGCCAGAGACATTCAGAAGAAGGTCCGCAATGGGGGACCCCATGATCTCTTAGAAAAGGTGTCCTTGAAAAGCAATGAAAAATGTATGTGTAATGTTTAATCTTTCGAATTAAGCCATGACAGCCACTGTTTTGCTTTGTCTAGAACTGAGGAATGCTGTGGAAGAAGTTCTGCCAGCCCTGAGAGAACAAGGGGTCCTGGTCTATTATCTGAGCAGAGACTCACCCACTGCAGGAGTGTACAGTCTGCTGGACAAAATAGAAGCTGCCTCTCAGGAGCCCATCCCCAGCTCCTTCAGGCCAGGTCTTAATGTGAAAACCCCAATTGTTTACATCTACACATCTGGAACTACAGGTATATTTCACTATTTATTTCTCTGTATGACATCTGCAGGATACTAGTAGGGTTGCCACCTTATCTTCCAGTTAAACCTGAACACTAGTGACGCACAGAATATTTTTGGGAGAATGAGTCGCAGCTTATTCATACATAAATAGTGCTACCCATTCATATGTAAATATCCCAGTCAAGACTATTTTCAGTAGGGGGCCAGTAGCCCCTATCGTAATTTTGGTTGCTCCTGTCTGCCTGACATCTTGTGTCCGGGTTTCAGCTGCCATAAAACCCGGACACAGCATTCAAAACCCGGACTGTCCGGGTGAATCCTGGACAGGTGGCAACCCTAGATACTACACAGTTGAAGAGCTGTGTCCACTGGTGACTGATGTAGCCATTTTCCCAGTGGAAAACCATAAAGCTGAACTTCAGGCAGATTTAAAAAAACATTAGTGCAGGTCTGTATTCTTTAATACATCAATAAATGTACTGTTGATATGCTTTTTAATCTCATAATACAGGGGTCAAAATGTCAAGTCCTATTGAGATCCTAATAGCTTGGACTTGATGGACTAATGTCTTTATTCAACCTCAAATACTATATAATCTTGTTAATTATGTTCAGAAATCAGTGACAGAATAATAGCTGTTAGAGGTCAGTCTTACTTATTTTAATGTTTAACCTTCAGCAACTGCATGTGAATTGCACCTTTGGACTCTTGTATTTACTATCTGGACAACCTGTACTTGTTTTTAGTTAATATAATGCTACTCTGCAAAGTTAAAAAACATTCAAATTACACAAATGGTTTAAAGAACTGTGACAACAGTGACGTTTAAAAAGGCTTGACAGTATTAAATCCTTCCTTGGTCCTAAAGCTGGACTCCAGGCAGGTATAAACGCCCCATGTATATGGTTTCAATAAAAAAGATAATTACAAGTATTTTTAGATCAAACACTAACATTTTGAACTATGGGGAAAAACACTGACCCCATAGTTCTCCTTTAATAGCAGTTCCCTGTAATTCCCTGCACATCAGCACACATATTGAAAGATGACAGGGTGGCATTGTATGCCAGTCAAGACCTACTACATAGTTCTAGCCATAGAAGAGCTATTTGAGAGGAATGACATTCTAGTAATCTCATCAGTGACCCGCTACTTCTTTATTGCCCAATCACAGGCTGGGAAATCCTAGACCTGGTTGTATTACTAATCTGCAGTGTAATATCCAAGTCTCAAGGAGTGTAGGACCTGGCTGATGAGTATGCCTGATCACATGACAGGAGAAACAGAATTAAAATATTTTTAGCTGGTAAATAAGTAAATATTAATTTCTACTGTGTATTTAGACATTTGCTTAAAAATGTTATACAGCACCAGTTATAATAGTGTTAACATATATTAATATTAACTACCTATAATAATATCCTTAAACAGCAGGGTTACTTATTCCTTGCTTCTTTTGGTGATTGGAGAACATTAAACTTGCTTCAGATATTATAGATTCTCACCTTCACTTTGAATTACACTATTGCTCTGTCTGTCCTAACTTTTGTCTTGTTTCCAACGCTGCATTGACTGTGCTGATCACTTTAGATTTCCATCTGTGTGTGGCACAACTCCAAGGACCTTTTACCTTCATCCTTGCTCCTGTTCTCTTCCACTAGCGGAGGCCAGTAGGTAAAACCTGACATATACAGTGTCAAGGGAGAATCCATGTTGCACTGTGCAATAAAATTGAAAATGTTCAGTTATTCATTAATTCCCTACGCCAATAGTGAAATATATTTAAGATCTATTTGTACTGCAACAACATTTAAACATTTATACTACTGTTGCAAGTATTTTTGGGATAACATCAGTGTCTAAATAATAACAAACATGTAGTTCCCAATATGTACAACATCTTTATAATCATCAGATGATAATGTCCTAAGATTGTCATTCACAAATCTGGCTCTCTGCATTGACAAGGCCAAAAAAAACATTCTCTTGATGTTATTGATAAAGGTAAAATATCAACACAGACAAACCCTAAACAGAAATGTCAATGCACCACTGTGATTATATCCTGTGATTCATATCTCTATTTAAGTATGATGTGTTATGTATATTTACATTGTGCGGAGGACGGAGCCGCTGTCACTAACTAATGCAGAGCAGTGAGGAGAGAGAGAAACGCTCGGCTAGGATCTGACAGCCGGCGTCTCTCAGACTGGCTGCAAGCGGCTAAAAGTCAGGCTATTCAGCCTCAAAGGTTAATTGGTCAGTGGTATCACACCGGAGGCTCATAGCGCTATACCACTGACCAATTGATCACTCCAATGTTTGTAAATAACTGGGGACACATTAATATGTGTCCCCAGTTATGAATGAACAGGAAGTGCTTTGCAACACTTCGTGTTCATTCATGAGTTTCTGAATGGGTAGTAGCACTCAGTACAGAGGCTTCTATCCATTCATAACTAAATGATAGTAAATGTTTTACTATCAACAGTTTCTGAATTAATAGGAAGCCTCTGTACTTAGTGCTTTCCATTCATTTAGAACAGAGGCTGCAGAAAAAGAAACTCTGTGTCCTCAATTTCTTTTTCTATTTTAAAAGGGAAATATCAGGGGGCTGTTTAGAACCCTAATATTTCCCTGAAGTCCCAACAGTAAAAAAAAAAACAAAATGAAAAAAATAAAAATAATAAACACATCCTGGAGGCGGGCGCATGACGTCACATGATGCCAAGCGTGTGCGGCGTTGGGTGACGTCACACGCCTGTTGGGGGCACATTTTTTTTGCCTCAGGTGCAAAAGGAGCTAGTTAAGTCTTCTCCAGCACATCACAAAGATTCTCAATGGGGTTAAGGTCCGGACTCTGCGGTGAACAATCCATGTGTGATAATGTCTGATGCTCCCTGAACCACTCTTTCACAATTTGAAAATGATGAATCCTGGCATTGCCATCTTAGAATATGCCAAATGTGCCATCAGGGAAGAAAAAGTCCATTAATGGAAAAATATGGTAATTCAGTATTTTTTCAGGTAGGCAGCAGAAATTTTTTGGAGACATAATGTTGCTGAACCTAGACCTGACCAACTGAAGCAACCCCAGATCATAACACTTACACGATGGAAGGCAGTGTATAATACTACTGGTGGCATTTTTGCAACTATAGTAGTAAATGAGTGATGATCAACTAGAAGTTTTCAAAATGAATAATAATTGACCATAATTAATCTATAAAATGCTAAACATCTCTTCCTAAAAGGTCTCCCCAAGGCTGCGGTTATAAATCAAGGGCGTTTGCTGATCAGTTCATCTATAAGTACAATGTCTGGAATTACAAGCAAGGATATACTGTACATTCCATTGCCTCTCTACCATAGTGCTGGCCTTTTGATCGGGGTCCGTGGATGCATTCAGCAAGGTATGGTGTTCCATTCCAGATATTTTCACAACTGATAGTAGCTTGACGAATTAGTCCTGTCCCTTCTAAGGACTAATAGAGAGGCAACGGAGATAAATGGGAAGGCAAACTCATGCCTTTTGAAGGAAAATTGGGATTTGCATACAATGTTAGTTATCTATACCTCTCTGCCGTTGTTTTGTTCCTCATATGCTCAATTTGAATTGTTGTGGCTTGTGATAGGGTTTTTAATGTAAATATTGTTATCAACAAATGTTACTTTTCAATAAAAAACGCTTTTCTGTGTATAGTTTGTAAATATAAATACATGAGGACGGTTATATTTGCTAATGGCATATGCAGCCTCTGCTTGAGTTATCATAGTAGTATACAGTGAGAGTCCTTTACTGCTTCCTTCTCACAATGCAAGTCTATGGGCTTTATTTATAAAAGTTTTACCCACAATATAGCTGGGCAGATGCCATTTGCACGGCACTAGGGCCCCTAGACAGAAATTATGAATATAGGAATTTCCTATAATTGCCAACAACATCTAGGGGAGCTAGTGCTGGGTTTCATTTTTATAAATGAAGCCTTATGGGTTTGTTCTGCCAACAACTACTTTGTATTTACAAATCTGTATACAAATTCAGGAATTATATATAAAACAGCAAATCTGTAAAAATGTGAAATTGATGTAAAAAATGTCTTTGAGGTAATTGGTATAATAACGGAAATGGGCACTGGGTGAAAATATACTATATTTTTTTTTAACATGATGGCTAACAAATTTGCTTTTAGCAAGATACCAACTGTGGAATTTGCTTTCAACTAGCACTACTACTTTAAATTTTTTTTTCTGTGGACATTTTTTATCCTTCATTTGTAATGGCAGTATCATTCATTATTATTACCGGCCAGGGCCGCCATCAAGTAAGGGGCCCGGGCAGCCTGAAGGGCCCGGGTACCTTACATGGGTATCGGCCGACGGCCGTACAGGTTACAGGCAGGAGGTGGCCGGGCCCCCGCAGCACCGGAGGAAGCCGGGGCCCGCACACTCCAGATCCTGTGCTCCGTGCGGGCCTCCGGTGTCCCCGTCTCCACTTCACATCAGATTTTTAAAGATGACTTCCCGCGGGTTCACGTAAATGTACGTCCTCCGCTGGAAGAGGTTATAGCAAGAACACTTGTTCTTGGTACTGTTTTAAACAGCCGGCAATTGCTGTTTAAATGCAAGCGATCCGGTGTCTGTACAGGCGCTGGATCACTTGTACGGTGCAGCGCTGTGTCCCTCTCCCCCCCTCCATGGCCGCAGGTGCCGCCGTCAGCTTCCCGGGCTCATCATCTGTCCCTCGTGTGAGCCCGGGACTGGCGTGGAGGGTCTCCCCTGACAGATCGGAGGAGAGATCAGTGACTTCTAGCCGTGAATCTCTCCTCCGATCACTGGAACGGGAAGTGATGTGCATTACATCACTTCCGGTGTCACTGTACACATTCTCCGGCTCCTAGAGCCAGAAGAAAAAGCTGGTGAAGCTGATCTCTGCTTCATCAGCTTCTTTTGGGGTCGCTAGGTGACATTAGGGGTCTGAAAGACCCCTGATGTCTCCATAAAGAGGACCTGTCACATTATATTTACTATTACATAAGGGGCTTGCTAGCCCCCTATGTGATATCAATAAAGCTAAGTGCAAAAACAAATTTGTAAAAATGAAAGTAAGATAAAAAAATAAAAAATGCAAAAAAAAAATTTTTTAAAAGGTCCCCCGCTCCCCATGTGCACGCACATACAACGCAAACATGTGCTGTATGAGCCTACGTGCAAAAACAAAAATTGCCACACGTTACATATCGTCGTGAGCGTCGGAGTGAGAGCATTAATTCTAGAGCCATCAATCACTGTTAAAAATACTTGTTTGATAAACATTTGCGCAAATACCGTGCAACATAAAAAATTGCAACTAGCATCTTTTTATTCTACAGGGCCTCTGCTTTCAGAACATATATAATGGTTTGGGGGTCTGAAGCTGTTTTCTATCCAAAAATTTAGATTTTATCTTGTGTGTGCAAATGTAAGAAATTGCTCTGGGCAGCAAGTGGTTATTGAGTGTGCGATTTGTGTGTTATGTGTGTGTTTTAATGAGTGTATAAATATTTGAATACGTGTGTTTCCCTATTTTGCCTAAGGCAGTGATGCTGAACATTTTTTAAACCCGAGCGCCCGAACTGCAACGCAATACTAAAGTGATTTTCAGTGTTGGCACTTTGACATAAATAAATTGATTTTGCGTCGCAGTTTGGGCACTCGGGTTCAAAAACATTCGCCATTTCAACGATTTGTGTTAATCTTGGCCAGGTCACTATCTGCAAAGGAGTTTGCATTTTCTCCCTGTGCTTTTATGGGTTTCCTCCGGGTATTCTGGTTTCCTTCTACACTCCAAAAACATGCTTGTAGGTTAATTTGTTCCAAATTGGCCCTCTATGTATGCATGCATGTGTGACAGGGACTGCGCTCTGGTTGCATCACCTGCCCCTCTTCACTATCCTCCATTCAGAAAATATATTTTTTAAAGAACACAAGACATTCTGTGATTGGAGGAGAGGAGCTAGCGAGGATGCAACATCATCTCTTGTCCTCCAATCACAGAATATCTTATATTCTTTAAAAAAAATTGAAGATTTTTTTGGAATAAAGGATAGTGAAAAGGGGTGGGGGATGCAACTGTTGCACAGTACAGCTTTGGCTGTATCTCTCCCTCTCCTTGGTGCCCAGAAGCTTCATGTTGTGTGCAGGAGATGGCGTGCTGCAAGGCAAGATTTTTATACTTTGCAGCAGCCCTCTGCACATAACACAGTTTTTTTTAGTGATACATTACACAGCCAGCACGGTGTGTAAATTATAATGTTGCCTGGAGTGTGGCTTTAACATATGCTTTTAGGTTTAGATACACTTTAATCATTTAGAACTGGCTGTAGACATTATGGAATGGTTGGATGGGCATACATTACCAATTCCTCCTATAATGGTCCAGTTTTTCCCCTAAGTAAGGTTACTTTAGGTGCACAAATACTCCTGTGTGGGGTAAAATAGAGGAGGGAATGGGACTTGCACATGGACAGTTACAGCATCAGAGAAAACAGTAACAACTGATCAAGATTTTCCCAGCTGCCTGATCAGTTTCATCCCCAAAAGTGATTGCTTAGGACTAGGGATGCACCAATACCATTTTTTCAAGACCGAGTACCGACACTTTTACTCAAGTACTCGCCAATACCAATTACTGATATCTTTTTTTTGTGTCATATGACAATTTTTCTAAAACAATACAGACTAATGATTTTAAGACGGTGGTGGAGTGCCAGACTCTAGTCCCCAGCTGCGACCCTGGTAATTCTTCCACTGACTCCAAGCTGTAGAGGGGCTACAAATCCCAGCAATACATTATAGAGCAATGCAGAATACCATCAGCTTTAGAGGACTACAAATCCCATCAATACATTATAAAGCAATGCACAATAATACCATAAGCAATAGAGGACTACAAATCACAGCAATACATTGTACAGCAGTGCAAAGATAATACCATCAGCTATAGAGGACTACAAGTCACAGCAATACATTGTACATCAATGCATAATAATATGAAGCTAGATACTCTGTGTTGATCACCAGGGCTGTTTGGGGTTTCACCAGGGCTGAGCGGGGTTTTACTGGGGCTGTGTGTGGTCCCCCCAGGGCTGCGTGCAGTGTCACCAGGGCTGTGTATGGCGTCTCACCAAGGGCTCTGCGCTGCGTCTCACCAGGGCTGTGCGGTTTCACCAGGGCTGTGCGGTTTCACCAGGGCTGTGTGCAGTTTCAACAGCGTTTCAGAAGGGAAGGAGGAAGAGGAGAAGATGTACGGCCGGCCATGTAAATAGCCGCCGCAAGGTCCCCGCAAGGCTGCTGTGAGGTCCTAAACAAGAGCGGGACCTTATGGCAGCCGAATGTATTAAAAAATGTAAAGCGCAGGTATTGGTAATTAGTATCGGGGAATTTCCACCACTACGAAAATGGCCAGTATCAGCACTGATACTGGTATTGGTATATCCCTACTTAGGACTAGCACTAATGGCACTTTTGGCAAAATTACAGGATTTATATGCATTCATAACAGGGGCTGCAGAAAAAGAGATTGAGGACTCAATCTCTTTTTCTATTTTAAAAGGGAAAAATATCATGTGTCTGTATAGACACCCAATATTTCCCCAGAGCCACCAACAGTAAAGTTAAGAAATATTTATTAAAAAAATAAAAATCATATAAAACATTTTTTAAAGTTGAGAAAAAAAATAGAAATAAAATATTTAACAAAAAATAAAAAAAGGTTAGAAAAAAAAAAATTCGGTTTTCGGTCTGACATTTTTTTTTACTTCCAGTTTCAAAATGTCATTTGGTTGCACCTCTACTTAGGACTGTTGACTCTAATCAAACATTTATGGGCCTCTTCACCTTTTCATTAGCTCAACTCCTGTACTTCTGTAACCTGTAACTTTCTAAAGCATTATTCTTTTTTTTTTAAATCAGGAGCCACTTGTGTGATAAGGAATAAATTCTCAGCGAGTCAGTTCTGGGATGACTGCAGGAAATACAATGTTACAGCCTTCCAGTACATAGGAGAAATCCTGCGATACTTATGCAACACTCCAAAGGTATAGATAAAACTCTGAATATAAAATGAAAATGTTAACACAGAGCTTAGCCACACCTGTAACATATTGTGTTCTTTAGATAAATAAAAGTGAGGCACTTTGGTGAAGGTTTGAATCAGTAACTGCTTAACATACAGTCTTAACTTATGACTAAGGCCTTCTTCAAACCAAATCCGGACCAGGTCTGCGTGAGTTTCTGCATATGCAGTACAGTGTGTTTTGCTGCGTTTTTGTCACGTTTTTGAAGCGTTGCGGGCCGTTATTTAAAAAAATTTTTTTGCCTAAAATTAGCTTTCAGTGAGTTCCAGGGCGTTGGCATGCGATTTTGATGCATTTGCATGCAGTTTGGTGCATTCCAGAGCAGAAAAAATAGGGCATGCCGCAGTTTTTCTACATGCTCTGGAACTGAACGCTGCGGTGTGAACTAGAGCCCAAAATATCATTGGAATAAATTGGATGCAGTTTTGATGCGTTCTGCAACTGCTCTGCATCTGCTCCGCGCTTGGTGGGAACAAGCCCTTACAGTATTTCTTAACACATAACAGTCTTGATTAATTTATGTTTGGTAATATGTTGTCTGTTCATACTTCAGTTTTGTGTGTTCTAGGGCAGCCTATCTCAACCCCAGTGCCGTAGCACATTGGGGTGCCTTTCGCCTTCCTCAGGGGTGCCTTGAAATTTTCTCACAGCATCATGCCTTTCCAGGAATGCTGGTCACCAGCACCATGGACAAGGAAGTTTGCCATGCTGCTGCAACTCCTAACTGATGCTAGGACTCTGATGTTAGAGGGGATGATGTGAAGGGGGCAGAGGACTCATAAGTGAATAGGAGGACTGAGGACTCTGATGTGAAGGGGGTCTAATGACTCTGATGCAAAAGGGAAGTGGGGGGACTAAGGACTCTAATGTGAAGGGGCTCCTGATGTGAAAGGGGGGCTTGTGATATGAAAGGGTGGTTCTGATGTAAAAGGGGGATTCTGATGTGAAAGGATGGGGTATGATGTGAAGGGGGGCTCTGATGTGAAAGGAGGGTGTCCCTGATTTGAAGGGGGGCTCCTGATGTAAAGAAGGATTCTGATGGGAAAGGGAAATTCCAATGTGAAATGGGGGACTCTGAAATTGAAGGGGGGCTCTTAATTTATAGACCGAAAAAAACACAGTATACAGCGCTCTCTGCTGAGTTTTAAAATGTGGTGTGCTATGCAGCCCTAGAGACCAGGAGGAGACACCTGAGGTTGATATAACTGAAAAACATGTGAAGGGCGCAAAGACTTGTGTGTGTGAGTGGGTGCTGATAAAGATAGATGTCACTTACTTTCTGTCTGAGGGCTGGGGGAGAGGTGGCCTCTGGTGAAGATCGGGGGGTTGAGGAGAAGAGCCTTGCCTGAATGGGTGTCCGGCCATGAGAGCCCGTCCACACGAGTGGGTGGCTGGAACCGGAAGGAGAGAGGGGTGCCGAAGGTCCGTCCGTGTCCCTGCAGTGTTTGCGGGAGGTAGACTGAGTGGGACTTAATTTATTTATAGAGCGGACTATGATGTGAAAGGGGAAACCCCACTTTTTTGTTTTTTGGGATCCCTTATTAAAATCCATTACAATTTAGGCTGGGGTGCCTCGAGATTTTGCATAGTTTCAAATGGTGCCGTGACTAAAAAAAAGGTTGAGAATGCTGTTCTAGGATATGAGTAACCAGAGTATTTTTAAAATGTTGCACTTAGAACAGTAATTCACAATGTATGCAGAGCAACAAATAAGCACTTCTTTTGAAGTAACATACTGTGGTATGTATTTTAGAAAGACAATGACAAGGATCACTGCGTCCGGATTGCTGTGGGGAATGGTGTCAGGTCCGACGTCTGGAAAGAGTTCATCAATCGTTTTGGTCCCATCAAAATGTGTGAATTCTATGCAGCAACAGAGGGCAATTCTTTTTTTTTCAACTACACAGGAAAAATAGGAGCATTGGGAAAAAGCAACCTCTTCTTAAAGGTGAGAAAGAGAAGAAAAAACGTTTTCTAGCTACTCCCCTCAGTCAACCCGAGTGTTTTATACTTTAGTAAGGAAGAGAAATGATGAAACGTGTAATTAATATTTTATACCTATCTCGCTACTTTAAACCAGTGTTTCTCAGCTTCAGTCCTCAACCACTCCCATCAAAGTTTAATATTTCCCATGTTTTTTTTTTTTTAAAAGGAGAACTATGGGGTTTGGGCTTTTCCCCATAGTTCTCCTAAGGGTAACGGGAGGACACAAACTAGCGTCCTCCCGTCACCCTAAGCTCAGTATACCGCGAGCTACAGCTCGCGGTATACTGAGACGCCGCAGCTGAAACAGATCCTGACAACTCTGTCTGGATCCACCCAGCTGCGTGAGCGACACCTGGTTCTGCCTATCTAGAGGCAGAGCCAGCTGTAACCACCCCCTCCCTTGTCCGTTTCGCCAGTCAGCGCTGGAGGATCAGAAAGGGGAGTGGAGAATTCAGTCCCTCCCCTGTCACGGCTCTCTGCAGGGATAGATTGAGAAGTGAGCGAGCGCCGGTATGTGTTCACTCACTTCCCGATCAACTGAGCCGACCTGTGACAGTTTCACTGTCACAGGTCGGCTCAGATTATGAGGCTGAGTGAAAATCACTCACCTCATAATTCTCCTTTAATACCCAATCTCATACCAGACCTAAAGGAACTAGTATGACTTTGGAGGGGAACCCCATGCTTTTTTTTTTTTTTTTACATCAGGGTCCCCCCTAACATACTTATCAGACCTAATAGGTCTGGTATGAATTGTGAAGGGGACCTCGCACCTTTTTTTTTATATTCCTAAATTTCGGGAAATTGGTCCGCTGTGGCCGACCATTGTCACCACTCCAGCTGTTTGTTCGACTTTGGCGAGCCGAAGCATGTTCGTTTGGCTCAGTTGTTTACTTCGGCTGCTGTATGGGCTATTGAGAATAGTGTGTACAGCTGCCCTTCGGTTCAGCTGAACCAAATGGTTTCTGTACCCGAAGCGAGCAGGACACATTCGGCTAAATACTTTGGCTCTTGAGTGAATAACCCTATATGCGACGCTGACATTACTTTGATTTAGGTTGGATTCAAACTAGAACCACCTGTTGTATTGTGTTCACTGTGAACGGTCTTCCAATGCACCACAACAGATCAGAAAACATACATGTCCCTTTTTGGCAATGCAGCGCACCACAATGCACAGCATGTGCATTGTCTTGTTCTGCAGTGCATGGTGTTATAGCGTATAGCTCCTTGGAATGCCATTTACATTTACATAGAGCAGGTGCATTGCCATGCGGAAACGTGTGGCACAAGTGTGAATGGGTCTAGATTTTCCTATAAAATAGCATGATACAAAACATTTCTGATTAATTTTTCCATCTTTCAAATATTTACCAAAAATCTTGAAGCAAGTATAAATTGCATTTTAGTATCATTAAATCGTTTACATTGTTATCTTCTAGGCTATGAGGCCATACAACCTTATCAAGTACGACGTGGAAAAGGATGAACCAGTAAGAAATGCCACAGGACAGTGCATTAGAGTAGCTAAAGGTAATTTGGTATTAGTGGTCCTGTCATATCTAAAGCCCAAACTTGTTTTCATTTTGGATAGAGTGGGTTACATTTATCTAATATGGCTATTTGGCCATACAAAGCAAATGAGGTCACTACAAGCATCCCGCCCCTTTGTTAAAATGCAACTGCAGGGTTGAGAATATCTGGCCTGCAGCTGATTGGTTGGAAGTGTCCATGGCAGTTCCTTGTTCGGAGAGCTCAAGTTCGGACTGGGTTTGGTCCATACCTGAGCTCATCCCTAATTCTTGTCATGTAGACTCAACAAGAAGTGAGGGTCTCTTTCCAATGTGAGGGATATCCCCTCTTAGACAGTTATCTTGGGAACAAGTGGAAGACTTACCCTATTCCTATTCTGGTGGCAACTCAAAATTTGCATTTACCCTGCAGATTTGTTGCACAACCAAGGTCGTGGCAAATCTAAACTTCATCCTTTTTCAAATTGAACCCGATTGTAAATACCATTTGTTCAAATGATATGACCTATAGTATCCAATCAAATCTGTTCCCCTAATCCTATGTGTAGGTACTCTTATATAGGGCCGGTTCACACTATCACTCGATGGGATTCAAGCATGGCATTCCACAACAAACTTCGGGATAGTGCAGGAAGTGCATTGCACTGCCATTCAAATGAATGGCAACCCAAGAGCGCCTCTCAATCGCAATGTGTGGTACACATAGCAGCTTTACCTCACTCCCTTGGTGTGAATGCACTGGCTTACACCATCAGTATGGGATGGACGCACAACGCACCTCCCGTGTGATGACAGTGTGGGAAGTGCACTGCAGTGCCATTCATTGGAATGGCAACCCAAAAGCACCTTCTGCCTGCAGTGCACTCATCCACACTAACGGTCGCTACCGCAAATATCGTGCGTTTCAATCGGGGAAAGATTTACATACACTATTTTTTAAATTACTCTGCAACAAATGGTATTTGTGGTAGCGCACTTTGCAATGTGGCTGAGTGTATTGCGGGCGGGAGGTGCTTTTGGGTTGCCATTCCAAAGAATGCCAGTGCAATGCACTTCCCACACTGTCATCACACGGTTGTTGTGTGAGTTGTGTGTTAATTGCATGGTGGTGGTGTGAACCAGACCTTGGTCCGGTCACACCAAGATCATGAGGTATCAGGGAACACACTGGCTGTGCGTTACTTTGAATGGCACCCCGGATGCACTTCCTGTCTGCACTCCACAGCACCGCAATACTGTGCTTGTCCTTGGAGTGTGGGAGGAAACCTAAGAACCCAGAAGAAAAGCATATGGAGAACATGCAAACTCCATGCACAGGTCCGTACAGCTCAGTGTAATGACCAGGATATGAAGCCTACAGGGTATTAGCCACTCTATAAAAATTACTTTTAAAAAGGAAGCAGTTGAAAAGCAAATAGCAGAAATGCTACAACAGGGAAGATATTTCCCTTTCCACAATCCTATATGCTAGTATCTAACATCAAGCAGCAATTCTTCAGCAATACTTCGAAGTATGCTAAAAGGTATTTACTAACATTTTTGCGGGCTAGAGCGCTGCTTGTGCGTTTACGGCATTTTACGAATGGAATTCCTAATGTCTTTTCGCACGATAACGCGCATTTGTGGCGTGTTTGTATTTATGAGTATGAGGCTGGTAAATCAGGCCCAAAGTATCCAACCAAATCTGTGTCCCTAATCCTATGTGTAGGTACCCCTTATAGGAATCCTTGCACAGTGGGCAGTGGAGAAGAATTTTCTTGCAAGACTATTATTCCTCTGATTAACTTCTGTTATTGTTTGATCACAGGAGAAACTGGACTGCTGATCTCAGAAATTACTGTTACAACCCCGTTTACTGGGTATGCAGGGGATGCTTCTCTGACTGAGAAGAAGAGACTTCACAATGTGTTTAAAAAGGGAGATTTATACTTTAACACTGGAGATTTGATCATGGAGGATAAGGAAGGCTTTTTGTTCTTCCAGGACCGTGTAGGAGATACATTTCGGTAAGCAGTCAGCCTGGAATTTCATTTTCTGTGAGCACAACATTTGTGGCAATTATTGCAAATTTACTTTAAAGCAATTCTTCTTCATATTTTCTTCCATCTGTGGGCATGCTCAGAAAGAAGCACTGATATGTGATATCATGCATAGCGTGGTGCTGAAGTAATGTCAGCACAGCTCTCTGCATTATTACACTAGAGGGTGCTGTGGTGACACCCCCTCAGGGGTAGGTCCATAGTCACAGTAACTCCTAAGTCTTCTGGTTTGAATACACTAGGTGTCAGTCAACCTGGAAGACTGAGGACATGTGGGAGAAAAGATATTGCAGGGGACAATGCTGAAGAGATGAGTATTGCAGCCAGTGGTGCTTTTTTACTGAAATCACTGGCTGGTGTGGGGCTTTAAATGATGGTTTCATGAGAAAAGGGAGATGCATGGGCATCAGGGAGAAGCATGTGCAGCTTAAGTCTTTTTCCATCTCATGTGCACAACAAAATGTGCATGTGCAGTGATGCTTAGCCCTACATAAAATGGTAGTTAACATAGCAGAATGACAAAGGAATTTAGGCAAATATGTACCAAGCATGCTCCTCCCCACCACCAGTTTTTTGTACATACCAGAATCTGGATTGCGTTTTTGCATCCTTTCCATTTTTTTGCAATACCAATTAGCTTCTGGCTACCCAGCATCACTGCCATTCTGGAGCCAACATAGCTTTAGTTTAGCTGCAGCTGCTATATTTCCAGGTACAATGCAGAGAAGGCTCAAATCAGGTTGGTTCAGGTTGTGAGGATCTAATCAGCTTCATGAAATATGTGGGGGTTAAAAAGGGAGGGGGCACACATAACCCTATCACTGCACATCTCAGACGGTGGAAACAGTAACACTCCTACTTCCTGCATTTGTCCTTTAATAGGAATGTTCATTAACAAGAACATTTGGGAATTCATTAAAGTAGATGTATGGCCTCCCTTCAAAACTGCACTTTTAGTTATCCCCTTGGTGACACTGCAATGTCTCACAAATACCTATTGATCCTGCCACTGAAGTCCACTTTGCGCAGCCTTCTGTGATGGGGAGACAATGCTGCTGCACTGCTCAAGGATTCAGAGCAGTATTGTCACCATTATGCGAGTCGTGCCTGAGTGGGATGAGACGACACTACAGGGGCCATGGTCGTTAGCACAGTCACTGCCGACCAGCCTGTAGCTCGATCAGTAGTTAAAGGAGAACTATGAGGTGAGTGCTTTTCACTCACCTCATAGTTCTAGCCGACCTGTGACAATGAGACTGTCACAGGTCGGCTCAGTAGAACGGGAGGTGAGCGAACACATACCGGGTTCGCTCGCCTCTCGATCCTGTCACGGCTCTCTGCCGTGACAGGGGGAGGGGCTGGATTCCCCTCTCCCCGCTCCGATCTGCCAGAGCTGACTGGCGGAACGGACGGGGGAGGGGGTGGGTACAGCTGGCTCTGCCTCTAGATAGGCAGAGCCAGCTGTTACCTAAGTCGTGACCCGCTCCGGCGTCTCAGTATACCGCGAGCTGTAGCTCGCGGTATACTGAGTTTAGGGTAACGGGAGGACGCTAGTTTGTGTCCTCCCGTTACCCTAAGGAGAACTATGGGGAAAAACACTGATCCCATAGTTCTCCTTTAACTACATCTAGTCTTGCCCACTGCTTTCTGGATTGACAGCATTGCTTCTGCTGCTGAAACCCTCCCACTGGGAGCTGCAGTGTCTGGGAGGGCGAGTGGGTGCATATACTGTACACAAACACATTTTAGGGCCAGTGTAGACTGCCTCTAATTAATGTACCAGGATAGGTTTGGGTTGCTGGAGGAAAGCAAATCATCTGGAGAAAACTAAAAAAAAAAAAAAAAAAAAAGAAGGCATCAGGACCCCTTAATATGATTCAAACCACAGACCCAGTGAACAACCAAATAAACAAACGGCCAAACCAGGGTAGGTGCTGTATCCTTCAGGCCTTGTTCACACCGAGCGGTGCAGAGCAGTTACAGACCGGATCAAAGCAGCGTCCAATGTATTCCAATGGTATTTTGGGCTCTATATCAGCGTTCAGTTCCAGAGCATGTAAAAAAAAACTGCAGCAAGCTCTATTTTACCTGCTCTGCAACGCATGCAAACGCCCTGGAACGCACTGAAAGACAATTTTAAACTAAACATTATTTTTTTTTTAACCAAAAACGGCCCGGAACGCATCAAAAACGCGGCACAACCCACTGCACTGCGTGTACAGAAACTCATGCAGATCTGGTCTACATTTGGTGTGAACAAGCCCTCAATGAATGCAGAGAATTGCTCTTGCAGTGCAGAAAGGGTCTGATAACTGCAGCCAATGCTATGGCTAGCCTCATACCAATGTAGGAATCTTATCCAATTGGGGTGTACAAATATGCAAAATAAACAGTTTAATACACCTTTATAAAAAGCAAAACATTTGATGTTAATATAACCTAAACTTCTTCAAGCCTAAAAACTATTTACTGACATCCATGTTTTTAACCAAAAGCTACCTAAATGACTTTCTAACCTACACCAATGACCAGACCAGGTGTAATTTCATCTTCTATTACTTTACAAAACAAGGTGTTTTCCCATAGATTTCTGCTGGTAAATACAGACGATGCTGAGAGTGTACTTGTGTTTCAGCTCCGTGAATAATTGAATAGGGACTTTATTGTACAGCGTGTTTACTTTAAGCCAAGTGGACCTATTGTCAATGGAAACTGTAGCGTAAGTAACACGCTGCACCTGTGCCATGTCCCTGCAGAACATAGAACACAAAGCCTGGGCAGGTTAGGCAACTCCAGTGTTATTGCAATCATTGCTTGTATACAAGTCTACTTATAGTTTTATTGCCCAGCATTTAAAAATGAGAAACATAAAGAAACAAGGAGTAGAGACTGTTCACTTAGCAAAGTAATGTTCACTTTGAGAATCGCTGAGCAGTGAATGAGTGAATAATGTTAACCTGTGTTCACTTTGGATACACAGTCATGTGCGGGGGGAATTTTAAAAAATTGAATTTTTGCGAGCATCCGATTGTTTTTTTGAAGTGATCAAAGCTTCAGCTTATTTACTAATCTCAGCAAATGCTTATTTTACTAAATGAGCAGTCTCTATGGCTTTAGTAAATCAACCCCACTGTGTTTTACCTTAAAAGATACATAACTATTGAAGATAAGATTGTGAATGCATTAGGTTAGATGGCATGTATCAATGGTAGATAATATTAAGCTGATCTGTATATGACTTGTTTGCTGAAATACAGAAACTTGCTGCAATTCAGACTTTCAGCTTGGAGGACCTCTTATAGTATGGTGCCCCATGTAAGGTAAGCTTAAAGGCTAAATTTACCTTTCTGAATATGTTTTATGTTACACCCATATTCAGGGTGTAACATGAAATATGCTAAGGCTGCAATCCTCCCACCCCTCTTCGCCCCCCCCCCCCCTACTTACCTGAATTGCAGGGTTTTCCTCATTGCAGGCTTGTGTTCATTTTCGTCCTGGCTGTGAATGGCTCTGGCCACACAACTGCATCATCCTTCCACAGTATCTTTGACAGGATCTGTGAAGAAACTATAATTCTCATCAGCCAACACAACAGAGGGACTTGCAGTTCTCAATGGCATACAAGTGAGGTGATGTCACCACACTTGTAGTCCATTCCTTCTTTCTCGGACATGGACAGGAGGAAGAGTCTGCAGGAGCCAAGGCATTGGAGCCATGATCCACTAATTGCGGATCCAATGCTCAACTGTTGGCCCCAATGCAATATAATAATAAATGCAGTTTTTGCTTTTATGATGATAAGTGCATTTATTTATTTTTCTAAAAAGGTGGACTTTCCCTTTAATAGCCTGAGCTTTTAAAGCTAAACTCCAGGCAGCTATAAAAACAATAATTAATGCAGTTATGTATTCATTAAAAAAACCTCTGTTTGTAGTTGATTTATAAAGAATTCGCTGGGCCATTCACCCTGCAAATATCTCTGAACATTTGACCTGTGTGTATATTCTGTAAGCACACATGAACAGTCTTTAGATTTTTGGTTGGAACTTCTTACACAGCCTCCCAGAAACACAAGCACACAGTCTGATATGCATGCTGCAAACGGCTTGAAAACATGAAGGAAGCCACAGCTTTATTCTCTACCTTTTTTCAATACAACAGGGTATATACCATAGATCAGAGGCGTAATTAGAACCTTCAGGGCCCCAGTGCAAGAAACCATCAAGGCCCCCCCCCCAACTGCAATGGCACCGCATGGTTAAAAGGAAGGCTGCCAAGGTCCCCAGCAAGTGTGGGACCTCAGGCAGCCGCTTGTTTAAAATTTTAGTGCCTGTGTTCTGTTGAGAACGCCGACCTAATATCTGCGCTTACGTACAGACGGGATTAATGAGGAAACCGCCATTTATTTACAAAGCGCAAGCGTAGATGCTGAGGTCGGCAAATTCAACTACATCTGCATTCTCGACAGAACACCGGTATCTGCATTTAGTATCGGGGCATTTTCACGAGTATGAGTACTCGTGAAAATGCCCAGTATTGGCAGTGGTGTATCCCTACTTAAAAATATAACGCATTGCTGAGACTTGTAGTTCTACATAGTTGGAGCTATTCTGCATTGCTGTATAATCATCATATAGCAATGCAGAATACCACCAGCTATGCAGGACTACAAGTCCCAGCAATACATTATAATAAAAATCAGCACTACAGAATATCACCAGCATCCCCTCCACGCTTCCCCGCGCGCCACCCTTCCCACTCCAGACTTACCTTTCCTCACCTGCAGGGCCCTCTTTCTTGTCTCCGCAGCCAGGGGGCGGGGCTAAGAGGAGAGGATCCTCACACAGCAGAATGTGCTGCCTGGCAGTGCCTGCAGCTTCTCCATCCCCACCGCACAGCCAACCGTCCATGCTGTGCATGGCTGTGCGGCACGGAAGGAGCAGCATGATCTCGGGAGGGTCCTCTTCTTCCTCGCTGGGCCCCCCCAAGTGGCGGAACGATCCTTTGGGTTCCGCCAGTGCCATAGGTACTGTATAACAGAACTTATAAACACTGCCATCTAGTGACCGAAATTGTATACTGCAGAAATTGTTGCTATAAACACAGTAATGTGTATTCTAACATTTTTCCTTTACAATTGTAATTAAATGGGAAAGTTGTGACTGTAATATTGCATTATGGCCAGTAGATGGCAGTAAAGGAGCACAGGAAATGAGTAATCCCAGTCAGGCTCTGTTGTTGTGCAAATGTAGTAACAGGAAAAAGACTGACAGCAGAAGAGAGAATGATTGACCTCATCAGTCAGCTGCTGATCCTCCACTGTCAGGTCTTCAGGTGTGGGGAGGGGGTGTTTAAACCCATGAACAGAATGAAATATATATATATATATATATCTCAACAGTATAGTTAGCTGTTTGCTTCTTATTCTTTCATATCAATAGTTAGCTGAATGATGGAACAAGGATACGATTGCTATACCTTTCTGCACATTTTTTTTCAGTTGGAAAGGCGAAAATGTGTCAACCACAGAAGTGGCAGATATTGTAGGAATGACTGATTTCATTGAGGAGGTCAATGTATATGGCATTCCAGTGCCTTGTAAGTATTCAATGGTTCTTCAACACAGCATAATTTGTCAAAGGTATAGCAACCCATAATCTCCAAATAAGTGTTCTGGTTTATATATGTTAGATGGAAGATATTACTGCTGCCACACTAAATACTACTAGACTTGTGCGCCGTCAAAAAATTTGTTCCGTTTCGGAATATACGTTATTTCATATTTCGTAATTCGTGTCCGAAACTCAATCCGGATTCGTACGAAATACGAATTTTCGTTAGTTTCGGCACATTTTCGCAACTGTACGAACATTCGTTATGATGAAGTTAAAAAGCAAAAATACCTTTGTTAATATTGGAGTCGATGTGGTAGTTGTTTTTTTATCTGAAATACGAATTCCGTTAACGGATTCCGGATCCGAATTTCGTATAAAAAAAAAAATACCATCAACTCCAATATAAATGTACTTTGCTTTTTAACTTCAATATAACGAAATTCCGTCAACGGAATTTCATATTTCCTGCCTGTATATTGTAATGCAACTCTCAGCAGCAGCGGATCCGTATTTCGGATTAAAAAAAAAAATCTTGTCATGTTGTTCAACCTCATTTACAGGGGTAATATTAGTTCCTGTTTCAAAGAAATTCGGATCCGAAATTCGTTAACGGAATTTCGTATTTCGGATATAATTCGGAAACTGCCATTCGGATTTCGGATGCTTCCGAATTTACGAATTTCAGGAAAATTCGTACGAATTTCGATTCGTAACGAAACGAATCGCACGTGTCTAGATACTACCTGGAGATTGACAAATCCCCAACTGTAGGATGATATGTTACCATATTAGAGTCCCACTAAACCTTCCAGTTTGTGATTGGTACCGTTTACATGACTGTATTATGGTATAGAGATAGTTATGGCTCCTGGCACTGAAAACACGAAATAATACGAGTATGTGAAGCAGATGCTTTTCTTGCCCTCGTTTCCAGTCTGCAGTGACAGTACAGATGTAGACATACAGTACTACATGTAGACATGTAGATTGACCTGGACCCGATATGCATTCCTAAAGTGACTCAACCACTTAAGAGATAACTAAAGCTACTAGTAGGTATGAAGTGCAGGAACCAAGATGTGCCTGCACATACCTGCATCAGCTTTCACAGCCCTTTAATGCCTGAAAGGCTGAATGCACCTGACACCTGTAGGTATTGTTGGAGCAGGTCTGCTTGCTCTTGCTCCCCACACATACCATCATTATGATGGGCTGCTGCACTAACCAATAGGAATGGCTGGAAGATGGGAAGCTCTGTTACCACCAGGAAGCATCAAAGTTGGTGCAGGTATGTGCAGGGATCACCGAAAGTTGTTGCAGGTATGTGCAGGGATCACTTAGTGGCAACCAGCAAGCAGAGCCAATTTAAAACACAAGGAAGAAAAGTCAAAGGCTGGGTGATATATAGTTAAAGTTGCTTGGTTTTCCCAGCTATTGTTAATAAGCAATTGGTTTCTCAAGTACAATTTTGAATAAAATACATTTCATTTCACATGCTTTCATACGTAAATAAACGTATGGCCTCATTGTTTAGATCATGAAGGGAGAATTGGAATGGCAGCAGTTAAACTTAAGGAAGACCAGTCATTTGATGGAGAAAAACTCTATGAAAAAGTGGTGGACTATTTACCAAGTTATGCCAGACCTCGCTTTGTGAGAATACAGGTAAGGGAATTTTCTATATACAATGTCCAGGCTAGAAACTGGCCAGTAATAGTCTACAGAGATTTTATGCCTGTGCCAGCCAGAGCCCTGGCGAAAAATGTAGGACATGGAAACAGGCTACTGGATGCAGCTTCTTCTAAACAATCACATGCATGCAGAATTATTACATTTATCATCGGTGATTGATTTTCTTACACAAAAGGTAGCAATATGCACTTATACTACCTGTGAAGGACCCAAGCATATACTGTACCTGAAAAGGGAGTGGGGGTTAAAGGCCAAACAAAATTCATGCTCGTTCCTTTAAGCATGACACAGGACTTGATACAGACTTGTTTTGTAATATGACTAACTACTACTACTACTACTACTACTACTAGGTATACCATGACATACAATGGATGAATAGGAACATTCTCATATAATACCACTGTAGTTTTGCCAATAGGGTGCTCGCTACAGATAAGTATTTTTACTATGCGTGATTCCACACTGAGCTGATGTAAAAAAATATATATATATATTTTAAATGTTTTTGTCAGCCAAATTTTAAATCGTATATACGAATTGTATTTTCATACCAGCAAACTGGGGTCTAGACTCCTTTTCTCATATTTAAAAGACTAGTAATATTTGTTTTGCTGAAAGCTGTTGTATACAAAGCCCAATAGCTCAAGCTCATATTTTCACCTTATTACTGAATGAGTCACAGCAGTGATATATAAAACAAGAGATTACAAACTCAAAGATTCAAAGCCCAACTGCAGGCAAAAGTCCTCCAGCAGCTCTGGCTGCAATACTCACCTTGTCTCCCACGTTGTGCACCGCAGTAATTTTCTTTTGCCTCTAGATGTCCTCTTCCATTTTGAAGGATGCCCAGCTTCATTCATCCTGAAAGAGAGTGAATCCTGTGCATGCAGGGTGCCATGTAACCATGGCGTCCTGCAATCACACACAATAATGCAGAGATCTTTGCATTATTGAGGACTGCACAAGGTTGGAGAAGAGCAGAAGAGAAAGAGGATGCTACGGGTCACTTAACCAGCCCAAAGACATAAAAAAAAAAGCTAAAACTACTTCTAAGAAGGTCCATCAGGGGGTGGGGTAGGGTGCAATGGGTTGGGGGATCCTGGAGTTGGGCTTTAAATAAAATTGACCATTATAATTTGCCTTTAAATGGTATTGATGGGGCCAATCCATGCTGCCTTCAAACTAAACACAAGAACAAGCATTTAGTCCTACAGTCTATCGGTCCTTAGATGTGGTGGCTGCATTAGTTATTTGTTCGGAGTAAGAACATATTTTTAGCAAATACAGAAATGCAGTGTTCTTGTCACTTAGAGTGAGATGAACTGGGAGCAAAAAACTATTATCTTATTAGTGTAAACCTCTAATGCCACCATCCCCATGGAATGGAGATGAACAAAGGAAGACGTGCCTGAGGTTCAGCCTGGGTGACTACCTTGGCTCTTCGTATACTTACAGTAAAGGAGCCAAGGACAGGAAGTGTGTTTTTCACAGACTTACCTGGTGACACGAAAGGAAAAATGCCTGAAAAAAGAAAGCTAATCCACCCACCACACCTAAGCACTGCTGTGCTGCACTATATGACATTTTGTTTTTGAGTTGAGACATAATGTAAACTGTTATTGGCAGTAATGACCATATGAAATATCTAGTGTAGTATCAGATAAGTGAATGTAATAACTGTATGCTTTATAAACATTTCTTACCTATACAGGAATCTATTGAGGTTACTGGCACCTACAAGCAACGCAAGGTGGAACTGGTCAAAGAAGGCTTCAACCCACTTGTCATCAAAGACCCCTTGTACTTCTTGGATGAAACAAATAAAATATACAGGCCAATGACTCAACAGATCTACAATGCCATCTTGGAAAAAACATTCAAATTATAACATATGTGGCTTGCTAACCTTGGTCTGAGCATTATTACAGCTCATCAAATGTTAATAGGAAACAACTATTTGTATTTCATTGGCTTTTGGAGATTTATCTGAACAGTTCACCCATTAAAAAACATAATTAGAAATGCTTAGGAGTTAAAAGAATCTCATGCAAACACCAATCTACATACATAAATATATCAATGTGCAGATTTATTTTGGGAAAGAACACAAGCATTTAATTTATACTGAACTGGCAAAAATATTAATGCCCTGAAATAAAATGTGTTTCTAATGTAAATGTTCTCCTGAAAATTAATTTGACAGATTCCAGTTGTATTCATTTCAGTTACAATGGTGTAATCATACATTCACTAGTTTGCTTTGCTCTTTGAGCTTCAGCATCATCCTTGTTCTGCACCAACTCCCTTTAAAGCAGAACTCCAGTCTGCTCGCCTCCAGGCCCTGCTTCCATCAGTCTGAAGGTAATGGCATGTATGAAAAGTAATTTTTGCTATAACATACAATGGTGATAATGGCAAATGGAAACTAAAGTACCAGACTTTTAAGAAATGTGAACTTTTAACTGGTGAACTAAAGTAGAATGTGCAGACTTTTCTGTGGTGAACCTAGTAGAAGATACAAAGTGAGTGTACACTGCTATTGCCACTTTTCTGAAGACCCTACTAATAAAGATTGCTGAAAATGCATTAGGAAGTGCTGCCAACCAATGGGAAGGGGGTGGTCTACCCCAGGCACCACCACTTGGAGCAGTCTCCCAAACCCTCCACTCATGGCACCCTTTTAAAGTATCCAAAATCTCGAGGCCCCTCAGTCTAAAATGGGGTTCTCCCTTCACATCAGAGTCTTCCCCTCACATCAGAATCCACTTTCACATCAGAGTCCTCAGTCTCCCCACCCCGAGTCCACCTTACGCGTCAGAGTCCTCACACCCTCCCTTTTCACATCAGAGTTCCCAGTCCCCTTCTTTTAAATCAGAGTGCTTAGTTCCCTCCCCCTTTTACTTACAGTCCGCATTCTCCTCCTCTTCACATCAGAGTCCCATCTTACATACAGTGTTGGTGCAGCAGCATGTCAAAGGGCGGGAGGTGGAGCAGGTCTGGAGGGAGACAACTCCAGATACAAAGTTCCTTCCATCCTCTTCCGAATGCTGACACAGCCCTAAATGCAGATTACCCTGGATTAGCACCATGTTACTAATGGCCAGCATTGAATCCATGCGGGATACATGTTATTTGACGGCACCCCGAACGCGAAAGGCTGACTAAGAGGGTGCCTCTGGCGATATTTAGTGGCAGGTGTCAGCAACTGACCACCTGTACTGGGGTGAGGGTATTTTTACAGCCTGCCACTGAACCCCTATGAAGGTGGGATTATTTCAGCTATTTACACCAGTGCTTAGGGTTAATATTCCTGACAATGACACCAATGCTGGGGCTTTTTTACTCCCCCACTACAAGCCATACACGTGAAGTGACACTTTGTTGACACCTCTAGGTGTTCGACAGACGCATACTAAGCACACTGCATCTTTCTTCTTTATAACTTCAAGACATCCCTCCTAACTATTTTTAAATGTTGGTAACAATGCAGGAGATCTGAGCTCCTGCACGTTGGTCGGATTGATATGCTAAATTCAGTATCTCTGCTGCAATTCACGCTCCATGTGCTAATTTTTCTCCCACCCCCAATGTGCGTGATTATTACTGAAAATGTTTTGGTGCATGGAGGGGAGTGGTAAAAGATGATCCACCCCCAGTTGCCAGATATGATGGGTATGCCACTGCTGCCAGTAGTAAAAGGGCATGAATCATAAGAAAACAACTTGAAACACTAAAAATGAAAATTATCTCCATTGAGGAGATGGGTTGCCAGGTTTTCAGTCACCTATTCAAGAGAAAAGGACAACGCATATCCATTGTGATAAACAATATTGTCGCTGCAGTAGTTTACTATGGCAAGTGCTGTTTGGGGGGTAAACAAAAAAAACAAAAAATCACACAGCCATAAAGTGCTTGTTTATTGCTCTCAAAAACTCAATTTTTTATTTTGCAGTTGTATTAGGTGCACAGTAGTAAAGAAATATTCACAGAGAACAAGCTCTTGTGAGAAGATCTTGTTGGTGATTGAGTCAAGGAACATCAATGGGCTTTATAAGGCATTGACACAAGAGCAATGACGATGTGCAGAGTTTAATAACTCATACCATAGCCTCTGGTAAAGTAAAGAAAGTGTGAAAAGAGATAAGTGATTTCTTATTCTACAAAGATATTCAAAATCGGATAGATTTGTTGGTACCCCTAAAAAAGATTATAGATAATTGGACCATAGTGATACTTCAAAGTACCTGTTTTCAGTAATTAGTATCACACAGGCCTTCAATCTTGTAATCAGAAAACAAAACAGATTATTCTGTTGTCCTTCTTTGATTCCTGATCTGAATCCTATCAAACATCAGTGGAAATAGATGAAACATGCAGTCTGAGGAAAGCGCCCATCAAACCTGAGACAGCTGGAGCAGTTTACTCAAGAAGAGTGGGCCTTCCATACATCTGCCGATTATCGTATGATTGCGGGATTTCCCGTGATTATCGTACGATAATCGCAAGGTGTATGGGCACCTTTATTGAGAGCTACAGAAATCGCCTTTTTGCAGTGATCGCCTCTGTTGTGCAACAAAATATAAAGCTTAAAAGGTCCCATCATTTTTGTCAATGCCATTTTCATTTTTTAATTAAAATGAAATGAAAATATTCTGTTTAATAAAAAAAATTAAAAGCAAATGCAGATTTTTATTAAATATGGAACAATGATGAATGACATTTACTTTGGTTAGTTTTAAGTTATTTCAGAAAAAAAATGGAGGGGGGGCGGGGTCCTTTTCATGTAAGGGTACCAACAAATTTCTCCACATATGTAAATAGACCCGATATGCAAAACGAGACTGAATAGCCAGAGTAAAGGTGCCCATACACTTTACAACCCTTGCAAGGCTTTTGTCTTGCGAGGTTTGCAAAGTAATTAAAAAAACGTACGATCTGCCCATCTTGGACAGGCAGATGGTACCTGCGATCATCGCAAGCCTGCCCCCCTGAGGGGCGGGCTTCCGATGACTGCAATGTTGAACGGGCAATGTACGCGTGCGCACACCGGCCCGTTCGGCAGTGATCTCTCAATCATGTTAAAAACTAGCCGAAAATCGGACGATTCTCGGCTGGTTTTCCAACATGCTCGATATACAAAAGTCGTGCGACCGTACATTAGAAACGGTCGCACGCATTCCATACACTGCACGATTCTCGTATGATGGCGGGATTTCCCGTGATTCTCGTACGAGAATAGTGCAGTGTATGGGCACCTTAAGAGGTGAAGTGTCTTAGAGGAAATTCACTTTGCTAGATCTTCAAAGCAGAGTTCTGGTTATAACTGGTGTCAGGTGCCCTAATCACCTGTCAGTGAAACAAACAGTGATCATCACACCTTTGGTCCTTTTTATAATCACATAATACATCAGTACAGTAATAGCTAATAATGTCCGCGATTCTCAAAAAAAGCTACCTCTGCAGCACAAGGAGTACAGAGAGCACTTTAAATGGAGTAAAGAAGAGCTTCACACATCGATCCTCTGACAGAACATTCTGCAAATTGTATGGTTGTTCAAGGAGGTCACACCTGAAAGGAACAAGAAGGTTATGATTCAGAAGATGTGGCATCCTTGTGCTGTGCTTATTGACTTAAAGATCACTGACAAAAAACAAGACAAACATTGCTTGCGATTCCTGGGCTCAGGAATACAGTAAAGCTGGCCATACACTGGTCAAATTTCAGCTGGCTCCTGTGAACTTGGCCAAAATTCGAGTTATGGGTAACCCTGCTGGCCCTGTGTGGTGCCAGGTGGAAAACTGTAGGCCGAACAGTGACTGCTGCCACTCAGCTGGAGTCCCTGGTTGGGTATTCTGGAGCGGTGGGTGCCAGCCATCAGAATAAAATATCCAGAAGTGCAGATAGAGATTTGTCTATCTGCACTTTATAGCAAGGATGGAGGAATCTGCTAGATGTCTTTTGGTCAGCTCGCAGCCATTTTTATCCACTGCTGTCATTGGTACCTGTGCAGTATCGATTAAGCTCTAACTTTGGAAGGCTGTCAGTGGTGCCCATCCTTGTGCATGCCGAGAAGGTAAGAAGCCACAAAAGGTCTGGTCTGAGATATGTTACATATATTATTCTAATGAGCAGGGTTAGGTGTACAAGGAACTTTCGTTCAGAATACTTTTTTTCCCTAAATATAGCACTATAACAATGGTTCCCAACCTTTTTTTCACCTGCGTACCACTTTACAGTCCATTTCCATTAATTGTACCCTTCGGGGGTGGAGGGGGGAGGGCAGTGGTGTAGGGAGCAGGACTATAAGCAGCACAAACACAGAGTGCAGTGCTGAATAGTGTGGTAGAACTGCACTAACAGTGAGAATGGCTTAAAGAGGTATAGGAAAATAAAACCCGAGTCTGCTCTAGTGCAGGGGTCAGAAGTGTGCAACGCATAGTGTGCAGGGGTCAGAAGTGTGCAACGCATAGTGTGCAGGGGTCAGAAGTGTGCAACGCATAGGGTGCAGGGGTCAGAAGTGTGCAACGCACAGTGTGCAGGGGTCAGAAGTGTGCAACGCACAGTGTGCAGGGGTCAGAAGTACGCAACGCACAGTGTGCAGGGGTCAGAAGTACGCAACACATGTAAGTAATGCTTAGAGTTCAGAAGTCAAAAGTATGTAAAGCAAAGAATGCCTCCAAAGCAAACATTCGACTGTCAGTGGGTGGTGCTCAACAGGAGGATGGTAAAATCAGATCACACTACCTTCCCGCCAAGGCCTGTGCTGCCTCTGTCTAGTGTCACTTAATTAGCAAGCAAGGATGGCACTGCCACAGCCTTTTTCCGTCATTATATACATTTTTTTAATGTACCCCGGTACATGTACTCAAGGTTGGGAATCACTGCACTGTGATCATTGTAAATTTGTCTATACTCACAAGAAAGCTTCTTTTACAGGGAGTGAAGTCTGAAGCCAGGTGTCCACAGTGCTCCCGTAAGCCTCATAAAACCTTACTACAAGAGCATCTGCACGCTTCTCAGCCTAGGAGAAACAGAGGAGATAACAGATAAAAAGACATTTTATAAGAACGCCATAAAATAATGATAATAATAGTAATAAATCCATAACTTTCACTTCCAGCACTAAAGTGAGACACCAGTCCAAATGTTTTTTCTAATTTTGGATAGAATGGGGAAGTGTTAGAACTTCTGTCAGCTTTTGTTCTGTATTTGTTTCCATGAATTCCCCCCACTTCCTGTCCCAGTGACCGTTCTATAGAGTAATACATCACAGGTTGTATTTAATATATTGTAGTACGTGTGCAATGTCTGCGAGTGCCATGTACAGAATGTAAACAGTAAACTGAAAAACAACGTAGCCTTGTGTGCTAAATTAATGCACACCATGGACATGGGTATAGTATGTAAAATACTCTGACCACCTCTCCCCTGCTGTGTCAAAACCACATATTGAGCTGTATATCCTCCATCCTGTGAGTAAGCCCATTCAGTTGCAGCTTGAGGAGTGTTATGGAGCATAAAAGAGAAGCGCTGCTTACTTGTCCATTCACACCGTTGTGTTTCAGGAATGCATGTTACATACAACGATGCCAAATGAAACACATGAAAATGCTCTCCACAATGTGAACATGTGTTTTAACAAGCTACAATGTGTGCCAACATGCATTCTTCTTGATTTGAATAAAAACGAATGTGCTCAAAAACAGACAAGCATAAATGCAGTATAAAGAAGGAAGATTATTATTAATTAGTACAATGCAGTAAGCTGTTGTCTGCAGGGAAGAGTTCATCCAAATCGCCTTGCAGTCATGGCTTCACAACAGCTTAGTGCTGAAAGGACTTACCAGTTTGACAGTTTCCAGCACCACTGCCGGAGAGGAGACAGTAAAAGCACTCCAGGAGTTGGGCTGTGTAACTGGTGATGAGGTCGTCAGAAGAGGAATACAAAAGTTATATGCACTTTGGATTACTCCTGCTTCCTGAAATGACCCTAGTGGGTACAAAGCCATAAAATGATAATCGGTTACCAGGCAAGCCAAGGCAGAATAGAACATTGTAAATTCAGTTCCAAAACAAAACATTCTGATTTCTCATCACCTCCTGGCTTGGTGGCGAACCAGAACACCTAGGACACAAACTAGCGTCCTCCCGTCACCCTAGGCTCAGTATACTGAGACGCCACAGTATACCGCAAGCTACTGCCCGCGGTATTCTGGAACGCCGCAGCTGAAGCGGATCCCGACAATTGTGTCCAGCTGCGTGACTGACAGCGCGTTTTGCCTATCTAGAGGCAGAGCCAGCTGTACCCGCCCCCTCCCCCGTCCGTTCCGCCAGTCAGCGCTGGGGAATCCAGCCCCTCCCCTGTCACGGTATGTGTTCGCTCACCTCCTGATCTACTGAGCCGACCTGTGACAGTCTCATTGTCACAGGTCGGCTAGAACTATGAGGTAAGTGAAAAGCACTCACCTCATAGTTCTCCTTTAATCATGCTTCTATCTGTAGAAATCCTTCAACAATAAGAACTGCAGCAACAACCAGAGGGAGTTCACAGTAGTGGGCCCTAAAGCTGGGACTGCTAATGCAAACAAAATGTATGTAGGCTGCTCCCCACCCAGATGAAACCAAGCTTTGTCTGAGCCCTCTATAGATAGAACCTTTTATTACAGTTCCAGTATGCTCTAAAAACTCTGGGTTGCTGGATTATTGAAGTTGCCCTTTTATGCAACACTACCCACCCTTTGTGCTGACCTGACTATGGTATTAGGAAAACTAAAACAAGTATGTTTTTATCTCTTTATAGCACTTTGTTGAAAATATAATAACCACTTTTTTGGCTTTGTGCAGAGACAATGAAGAACTTTGTGCTAAGCACTATTATCCTCTAAACTGACTACACAACATATTTCCAGTGTGCTTTTAAAGAATTTACACATTTATGTGGGAAATCACTTTCTAATGATAGGATGCCCATGGTTTTATCAGTGATATCCAAAGTAGAAGAATATAAAAAAAGAATAAGACTTGCGTATGGCAATTTCTTCTCCTCAACATGCCAAAAGTGAAGTGGTACATACATTTAGTATATTAATATTAAGCATTCTAGCAGCTATAGTTTATTTATTTTTTTCATATTAACCTATGCTGGGAGAAGCCCATTGCGGTAGGATGGGCTCCTGATCAATGTGATGATTGTGACACTTAATCACTCACTCATTGATAACATGATCATGAAGCCCATGAAACACCCCAGATGTTATGATCTTTTAAAGGGCAGGTGGAAAACCCACCATCACAGTGGTAACTCTTAACTTATCAGACAACTCGGTAGGGGGATTTAAGACAGAGGAACGGAACATCAAAGCAAGCTTCATCTGCCATGTGTTAAATGTCTGACAGAGATAGATAGACAGATAGGTAGATACATAGACACAAAGATATTTGGATACACAATTATGTATACATTTTTAGATATTTGGCTATACACATAAGTAATTATATTTATTAGATAGATAGATAGATAGATAGATAGATAGATAGATAGATAGATAGATAGATAGATAGATAGATAGATAGATAGATAGGAGTGTGTGTGTAAACAACAAATAATACCAAGGAGTCTGGGTTTAGGTTAGGAGATTAGCGAACTCCTTAAAGTGTCAGAAAATTAGATAATATAGATAACAGGTAATAACTGGATATTCAAGTAGCTCGTTTTGCTTAGAGTGCATTTTGTAATCAATGGTATGCATCTTTCCCCCCCCCCCAAAAAAAAGATACCTACTCTCATGAGGCATTATTGCGTAGGAAAACTCATGAAGTCCAACATCAGCAGTGGCATCGGGGGATTTTGGGGCTCTCAGTCTGGTTACAAAAAAGAAAACTATTCATCAGGCATGGCGTCAGATTCCTCGCATCACCTTTCAACATCTCGTGGAGTCAATGCCAAGAAGTATCGCCGCAGTATTGAAGGCAAAAGGTGGCCCAACGAAGTACTGATGGAGTGGTCATAATAATCTGGTCACTTAGTGTATATATAAAAAATAAAACTATCCATCTCTTCTTCTTTATAGCCATCTACCAGCTTATTCATGTCACTATAACAAGTTTACAAGCAATACATACAAATGTGGAGAGGAAGAATCACCACTTCATATTTCTACAGAACGGTACCCACTTTTTGTTCAACATTAAAAATCAAATCAGTTTTATTTACTGTGTAAGTCATTATTACATTGCGATAACTAACAACAAAAGAAAACATTTATAAACGCCGTATCCTCTAAAAGACCATTCATTGTACAGAACCACATACGTAAGATGTATTATGAGACCATCTACTTATAGATTTTAGAAATGAAACTTACAAAGAGAGTGTGAGAACATTTCCAAGTACAGAGCAACCGTATTTGCAGTCATTTAGCACGGCAACTCCAAAGCCAAACTCAGATAGGTCCATCCAGCGGTGAGCCCAAACCTGCAGGAGAAAAACATGGCTGAGTTGCTTTGTAGGATCATAACAGCAAGCTGAAAAATGTCATATTATGGCCATAAAAATGTGTCTTATGGGCTAACAGCCAAGTCTCCACAAAGAACATCAATTCAGATATCCAACATTAGGTGAGAACTGGTGATGGATGTTGCTTGGGGAAGGGGCGCAGGGGTTTTGTTGCGGTGGTGCATGTCAAGGAAGGGGTGGTGTGATTGCTGCCAGTACCTCTGGCTCTGTCCAGCATCCCACCCAGCTCACTGACGTCTCCGATTGCCAGAAGCAGGCCGGGGTACCAACAAGAGTGTCTCACTCATCTCCTGGCAAGCAGTGACCAAGAGAAGAGTCTGGCGAGAGAACTCTTAGGCAATCACATCAGGCTGCCTCATTATAGGCACAGCCCTGCTTGGCATTAATAGCAAACAATTTCTATATGACAGTTTGTAATGGCCAGAATAATGGGCAAATATCAGGCCTCTCTGTTGGAAGATCAGTATTCGTCTGCAAATTCATATTACTGGTAAATGGTAGCTACTGCAACTAAAAAGATCTACTACAGGCATTTCAAACTTAAGTTGGGAGAATGGGCCACAAAAGCAGTCACATCTTCATCCACGAGTTTCACATTGACAGATATCCTTTTATTACAGCTTGAGGATATTGCAAGTTAAACAATTGATATTGTGAGATGCTAGTGAGTGAAAATACTGCAGCTGCCTTTTATCATGGAACTCTTTCTGCTTGTCTGTACTACCATCTTATACCATTTCACAGATTCCATGAATAAAAAAAGACTAATTATACTCAAAGAGGGAGGCTTAGAGAGCTCCAGGGCAGTGTAATCCCCAATACCTTGTTGAATCTAAGAAAAAATTCACTGCTGTTTGTACCTTCCATACGCCCACCACCTTTAGACAGCCTTACTGCTGCTCCATGCCGTCAACGACCTTCACACAAGCGCTCTATAGATCTATGTATGACACTCTAGTTTCTTCCTACATTCAAAGTTTCTTAACTTTGCAGTACAAAGGCCTGGTCTAGCATTCTCTGGAGCTGCAGCCGCACTGACGATTGTGCCCACCTACACCCTGGGAGACACCACTTTCCCTGTCATGTTTTTTTGCCTGAAGTCGCAGCCACTCTAGTACCCTGTATGCCCACCACCACGTGTAGACCCATCTGCCTGCCAGTCCACCTAAAGCAGGTCACAGAGAAGGTGCTCAAGGACCACAAGTTTACTGATCTACAACAAGGTTAAAGGTTAGATATAAGAGATTGTTCCCTGACCATAGATTGTGGCAAGGATACAGTACATAGATCATTTTATTCTACAGCTTAAGAGAGAGAAGGGTCATACCTCATATCTGGCCCAGTCCCAAGAAGTATTGCGATGAGTGGGTCTCTGCAAGTGCCCAAACTGGATCTCATAAGTAGCATTTGAATTGCGAACGGTGGTCGGAAATTCAACTTTTAAGAACCTATGAGCCTCGTTCCATGCCACCTATTGTAAAACATGAAGCAAATAATCAGAATAGGCAGAATAACTAATCACACACTTATAGTATACTATAGGAAGATATAATTTGTCAACATTTTGCAAGTTATGGAACAGTGTTATCAACAGCTTGATATTTGGAAGCCCTCTACAACCCCCCCAAGATAAATTCATTTTTCTATTGTACCCCCTTAAGCTATGCACAGCAATTATCCATTCCACATAATTGTATATTATTATTCAGCATTTTTATAGTGCCAACAGTTTGCGCAGGACTTTACAAAATGGAGGGAGACAGTACAGTTACAGTACGAAATAAAAACAATAGTGTGCCGAGCTAATAACTATACATGAACATATCAAAGATAACTGATGTGTGAATAAGCAATGTGAGTCACGTCCTGGACTCTAAACATATATGAATATATATGACATCTAAGTGTAAATAATCTATAAATCAATGAAGCCCAGGGTACAAAAGTTCATAAAAGTGATGAGAACACAGAAACAAATCCACATTTTGTGTTCTCATCACTTTTATGAGCTTTAGTACACCGGACTTCATTGATTTATTTATCTTTTGGACAGATTATTTACACTTAGATGTCATATATATCATATATGTCCAGAGTCCAGCACATGACTCACATTGCTTATTCACTGATATTGCTTTATTCACATTAGTTATCTTTGATATGTTTATTTATGTATAGTCATTACCTCGGCACACTATTGTTTTAATTTTTTCACATTATACTGGTTATAATTATAGTGCCTAGAAGCTCTCACTTTGTTTTCTGGTGCAGATCTTTTTTGTTAATAACAGTTACAATACCATACAGGAGGGTTAGGAGAGCCCTGCTTGTGAAAGCGTACAATCTAGTAGGAGGGTCTAGTGACACAAAACGTATAAATTGTGTGGGATGAGCTGATGGAAGAAGTAAAAGTACAGTTATGTGGAGGCAAAATGGGCTGCTTCCCTGAAGAGATGAGTTTTCAAGGATCGCCTTAAGGTGGACTAGAGTAGGAGATTATCGGACAGATTGGGGTATGGCATTCCAGATCATAGGAGAGGCTCTGGAGAAGTCCTGGAAGCAAGCATGTGAGGAGGCATACACAAGTTCCCAATTATTATTAATGCCTACACCGGTAAGTTTTACGTAGAATTTGTGATTTGCCTAAATTCTAAGTAAAGTAAAAGTTTACAAGTAAAAGTCTACATTGCAATTGATAAATAACATACTATAAAATAAAACATCAGTCAGAAATAGGGATGAGTTCGAGTTCGGTCCAAATGTGAGTTAGTCAGAATTTGGAAGAAAGCTGTTAGTGCCAGCCCAGTTAGCTGGGGCATTCCCGACCTGCAGATGCACATAAAAAAAGGCTCGGAATGCTGGTGACATCATTGACCTTACATGGCCAAAGTAAGATGTATTATTTTTAATATTTTAGCATCGTATTTGCAGGGCTCAAAATGTAATGTCCTGAGCTGCTAGCCAGGCCTGAAAAAGTTACTCGCCACCAGTTGCCCCTCCTAAACCCTACCCTGGACTTAACTTGACGCAGAGTACAGAGATCAGTAACAACGCATAGTGCAGAGGTCAAGCGGTTTAAGTCCGAAATAACAGGGACTTACAGTGCACATGGCTGACCTGATTCAGGTGCCCTCTTCTTCTCCTGGAGGTGTCCTCCAAGTCCATAGGAAAGAACAGGCTGCTGTGTGCAATCAAACGCAGCACCTGTCCCTCCGTGAACGGCCCGATACGCCCTTGCACGCTACATGGATGTGTTAGGCCCGAATTAACGCTGTGTGAATGAGGCCTAAAGCACACATGTATGTGACTGTGGGAAAGGAGAAGGCCTACTAAACGGAGTGCACTCAATGAGCCAGGAACGACTGATACTGTTCATCAGATAGATGCGTTTGTGTGTCTACATGTCGGCAAAACTCCTTTACTGATCACGCTTGTGTATGAATCAATGATGTAACCTGATTGGTTGCTCTCGACAGATCTGCAACAGATCCTGCTCTCCATCCTCTTTGCTCCAATTAAATGCAGCAGCTGGCGTACACACACTTACTGGGATTGGATACTTCGCTCCTCTGGGATAACTGCATCCTTGCCAGCTCCTGGCATGCTGGGAGTTGTAGTGCTCCAGCAGTTACACATAAGATGGTCATGTGCAAGATGAGGATGCAGGACAGAGTGATCCCAGAGATTGCCCTGCACCTTAGTGGAAGCAGGCAGTGCAGCTGCCCCCTCACACCACTGTCAGTGTGTACAGCCCAGAAGCCGTCCTATGGAATACCCCTGGAGAGAAGGGCCCTGCTCGGGCTCTCCCTCTTTCTGGTATGTGTTATTTGTGTTGTGTTACCATTGACAACAGTCTGCATCATGAAGATTAAAAATGAACCTGACGAATGTTCAAAAAAACACATTCTAATTCATATCCATCTGTTGTGGATGTTGTGCCAATTCTTCTTATTTTAATTGTTTTCTAAAAAGGAAAGACTGACAGTAACAATGGTTCACCTGGATATTCTCCATAAAATAAACAGTGTTATTACACAGTATTTAGGTGTCCACCTTGATTTTTTTTATGTACCTTAGTGTTAAATCGAATGTATGGGGCTTCAGCTTCCAGGATTATTTCTTGTACTATTGAGCTAGTGTCACTGATTTGCAGAGTGAATGTCACAACTCCTCTTAATCCTCCACTGCTGCTGATCTGGAGTTTATTTAGGAGGTTGGTTACCGGTTTCCTGCCATCAAAACATCAAATGTGAAAGGACAACAAATGTAGACATTTAAGTCTGACACTGGAATCCATTACTTGCATTTACCTGGTTTCCAGGTGATAGTCCATCACATCCCAAGCATCCCAGTATAGAGGAATGTCATCAAAAATCACAAACTGATTCCCGTAAGAGTTATGTGGAATGGATTCTCTGAAAAAATAAACAGTTAGTATGCAAGTTTAGTTTCTCACCACTCTTTCCAAATTGGAGGCTTACAGAATCAATACTTGTGGGGAGATAATAAAACCGTACGTAGCCTACACAGCAAACATCTCCAGTTTTCTGCACACTTTCCACCAAAAAATGCCAAAGCACCAGACAGACCCAGACCAGACCCAGGTCATGCTCGCAATGCACCTACCAACCAGCTCCAATTGTCTAATTGTTGCTGCTCTATTAGGTAGTAATGCCATCCTTCACACTAAGGGGCGAAGTAAGAAACCTCAGAAGCTGTGCATTAAAGAGCAGCCTGAGTTTTGTGATGCTCAGATGGTCTACAGTGGACCAGCACCAGTGTGCATGCACCTGGAGGTGTCTACTGTTCAGGGTAAATAAGGCTTTATAACATTTTTTTTAACTCTACAGGTTTGCTTTAAGTACAAGCTATTGTATATGAAGGAGATATACATTTTGTTTCCTGTTATTTTTTTTAAATAATTAGGGAACTTCTTAATACTTTGTTCTGCATTATAATAGCGATCATATTTAAAACACTGGGCAGTCCATCTCTCCTCTTTCGGAAGCCTTGAGGAGATTGATGACATAAGCAGGCAGTTTGCAGGTGTAAAATCTTAGTTTCTGTACAAGACAAGAGGAATACACTTTCCATAACTTTGTATGTGAATATACTAAAGAATCCCTGAGGGAAGCTTTCATGTGCAAACCAAACTGGTTTTACCCTAGGGACAGAAGGTGTGAAGACCACAATTGCCCATGTAAAGTATATGGTATAAGGACACAATTTTGGGTGCTATTAGAAGGTGTGAAGACCACAATTGTCCATGTAAAGTATATGGTATAAGGACACAAGTTTGGGTGCTATTAGAAGGTGTGAAGGCTGCAATTGTCCATGTAAGGTATATGGTATAAGGACACAATTTTGGGTGCTATTAGAAGGTGTGAAGACCACAATTGTCCATGTAAAGTATATGGTATAAGGACACAAGTTTGGGTGCTATTAGAAGGTGTGAAGACCACAATTGTCCATGTAAAGTATATGGTATAAGGACACAAGTTTGGGTGCTATTAGAAGGTGTGAAGACTGCAATTGTCCATATCGAGTATATAGTACATGGACACAATTTTGGGTGCTATTACTGAGAAAAGCAATTTCTTTAACCACGCTTCACTACAGCACAAAGGTTACAATACCTTGGCACTGTAGTTTTGTTCATAAATTGCAGTTATAAAACTGGGCCAACACAGTCGAATTTGAATAAACTAAATAAACCAACAACTATATAACTTGAGGATCTATTAAGGGTCAGGGGAGGCAACCTCGACACTCCAGTTGCTGTTGAACTACAAATCCCACGAGCCACTGCAAGACTCTTAACAGCCACAGGAATGACTACCAGAGGCATGATGGAATTTGTAGTTTAACCACAGCTGGAGTAACAAGGTCACCTGCGCCTGGGATCTATTTCAATGAGGGACTTATTTAGGTCTTGTACCTGTTGCAGGATAACAGTTTCAGAGATGTCAAACGTCCCATAGAGTCAATGCTGGCAGCAAGTATTTCATTCTTCATGATTACAGAGCCATCATCCTAAAGAGATATCACACGTATAAATATATGTTTACTCAGAAAGTGGCCTTTATGTATGAAAAACATAAAAAAAATAAACAAAAAGTGTTATTGTTTCTAACCTGGGCAGTAAAAAGTGACAGTTGGAAGGAAATTGGTAGCTCCGGGCAGCAATATACTTTGTCTACAGCATTTTTCATACATGATGAAAGCAAATGACCAAACAAGTATTAAGTAAACATACCAGACCTATCTTAAACTACAATGATTTCTATGGGAAATTATACAATCTTCCTTACTTCACCGTGATGCGACATTCCTCTCTCATATCACACCGACAAGAGGCATGGTTTAAATGTTAAGTCTGAATGCAAGGCAGATAGAATACAGAAATGATTGCAGCTCAGCTCTGAATTAAAAAATACCTAATTAAAAGGATTTTTTTTAAATACAATATAGTGTATATGAATATGATTTGGTATTAGCCTTTTGCAGTCTCTGTATAGCAGAGTTTAGACCGGGAAAAGAAGAAGCAGCACAGGTAGCTAATCAGTTGTGCTGCACTACAAAGAGCATGTGGATAAGGTGAGAGGGCAGAATTGAAGAAAGATGAGCGTATTGCCTGGTGCTTCTCCTTTCATTGTCCAGTCACAGGCTGGGGGAGAGATGTGACCTGTTACTGTTACCTAAAAGCAGCACAAACAAAATCAGGTTTCATGCCATGCCAAACAGTGCTGCGCTCTGTGACTGAGCTGTGTACATCTCAGGATTAGAAGGACAGAAATACAAATCCTTTGTTATGCAAAACAGTTCCCATACAGTATATGTATTTCATCTTGGTATTTAGATGTTTGTCTGGAGTTCAGCTTAAAAATACAGTGAGCTCAGCTCAAAGTCTTTGTAAATCAGCATGACATCTGTGTGGGAAACCCATCAGTATTATAATCAAGTATGAAAACAGAAAATGATTTTGCAGCTTCTCACTTACAAATACTTTGTTTTGAACTATTATCTTCTGGATCTGTATATACCTGCATGACAACTGTCACCGGAGTAATAGGATTATTATTCTCAGGTATCACAACACAACCCATACTGGGCACCTTCACAAGACCTTGAGAAAAGAAATCGTTACATCGAGTAATGTACACAGTATACAGATATAACCACAAAAAAAAGATTTATGATATGAATAGTGCAGGACAGTTATTTGACTGCACAGGGTAAACAGGTCATAATTTTGCAGATCTAGTCCAACAAGCTCACTACAATTATTGTATTTGCCAAACCCCAACAGATTAATTCGTACAAGACTCTAGAGGAGGCAGTTAAAAGATTCACAAGACTTAAGGGATGCTATATACATTTTCCATCTAGCATATCGCTGGACAAATGCCGTTTGCAGAGCACTACTGCTACTAGTTGGTGTTAAGCACAGGAATTTCCTATGCACTACGGCTTCATCTTGTGGCACTAGTGTCGTGCAAATCGACATTCGCCCAGCTGCATGCTGAACGGAAGATCTATATAGCAGCCCTTATTTACAGTGCATAATTGCTAGATTATATCTATATTAGTTGGTGTTTACAGTGTCTTTGCTTTACACAGACATGATTCATTCTGATATAAACCACTTGTGTTCAGAAGGTATAATATGCACACACCGATCAATAGAGAAACATTATTGCTGGCCACCTTTCAAAAATGCTAGTTGCCTGTTGGTGACCTCAAGACTTCCTAGTCAGACCCAGAACAAGCATGCAGCAAATAAAAATCAAAAGAGCAAAATTATTTTTCTTGTTCCAGGTAGGTGATTCAAAGTACTGAAGCTGTGAGCCAAAAGGATATACCTGGAACATCCAGGTATGAAGAAGCATGCGCCAGTATTGGGCCAAACAGTACTGTTACATGAAGAGTCCATAGCCCGGTGTAAGCTATGACTCCAGTAACTTGTAGCTGGCACAGGGCTTTCCTTTGCTACTTGCAGTTGAATGTAATTGTGGGGAAGCAAAAGTGAAGCAAGTATGTGCTGCTGGGGAGGGCAACGTTTAAGTGACCATGTTGTTTTAGCCTGCATGGGTACACCACAGGTACATGTTAATCTATGCAGACAGGAAATGAGCATTGCCCAATTGGTCTGTTTTCACTTGAAACACCTTGTCCCGCTTCTAGTGTTCCCTCTGAAGCATTGAATAATCTAAAGCCATATTATGAAATGTACATATTGAAAAGAGCAGTTTGCAACATGAGGGCTACATTGCAAATTACAATTTACAATGAATCAGTATTTTAGAATCAGAGAAGAGAAATAGCATTTTATATATTTGAAAGGCTTATAAACCTATAGATGCATCAATATTAAACATTCTTTAATTATTTCAGAATGTGGACACAAACTTGATTTTGCTCATGCACCGTAAAATGTTAATACAGAAGCAGACTTAGTCTAATAATGGAAAGGAATTTACCTAATTTCTGCTCTTCTAATGATCCTGGCATAGATATTACTTCGGTGCGCTCCCAGGGCAAAGTATTTATTACTGTCACAGCAGGACTTGGTGTTAGTTGGGATTGGGGCGAAGTTCTAAACAAAGATTGTATAGCTTCATCAAGAAGTTTGGCTCCTCCTGTTCGGATTTCTGTTGACAAACATTTATAATATACATCTCCGTAAAATAAATTTTAGTTCTTTATTTTATTAAAGAATACATGAACCCAAACTCTTAAACCAAATATAAAACTTATAAATATATTTTTCTTTTTTTTACACCTCTTGGAGACCAGCCACTGCATATAAACAGCCAGCCTGCTGCCCTATTGTTCCGTGAGGACATTTTCATATGATCTCCCGTGCTTGTCCGTGTGCTCACAGAACCAATAACTCATTAGGGCTGTAATATATAGAAGGTTTGGAGTATTGTATGTGATGCCCTTTTTTGACCAACTCATGATTTTAAATATGACAGTTTTCACTGATAAAGAACCTCATGCCCGATAAAGAAGTCTAATCTGTAGGGATGCACAGATACCGACACTAGTAACTGTATCGGGGCGAATACTGAGTATTTGGGCAAGTATTCGTACTAATGCTCCGATACCGGAACTTCCTGTCAGAAGGGTTCTCCGTGACCGGCAGTGCCGAGGCAGCATGGAGCCGTCTTCCTTTCCAATCAGGAAGCCAGGCGGTGGGTTATGACCTGCCTCCCGACTTCCTGTTTGGCTAGGAAGCAGTCTTCACTTGTTGCTAGGCAGCCTGGCCAATCAGGATGCCGGGCTGCCTAGAAACAATTGAAGCTGGCTTCCTAGCCAAACGGGCAGCTGGGAGGCGGGTCATGACGTGCCGCACAGCTTCCTGATTGGCTAGGAAGCCCGCTTCACTTGTTGGTAGGCAGCCAGGCTTCCTAACCAATCAGGAAGCCTGGCGGCACATCATGACTCACCTCCCGGCTTCCTGATTAGTCAGGAAGCCGTTTTCACTTGTTTCAAGGCGAAGCCAGCTTCCTAGCCAATCAGGAAGCCGGGAAGCAGGTCATGACATGCTGCCCGGCTTCCTGATTGGATAGGAAGCCTGGACCAGTCAGGAAGCCGGATGGCACCTATCACCCAATCGCTGGGCTTACTGATTGGTCAGGAAGCCAAGCAGCCTAGGCAAGTGAAGCTGGTGTTCTTTTGATAGAACACTGGCTTCCCAGGCAATCAGAAAGCCTGGTGACGGGTCATGATCCGCCACCCGACTCTCTGATAATCGGGGCACGCGGCACCAAAATTGGTACTCGATACCGGAAAAAAGGTATCAGTGCCTCCCTACTAATCTGTATATTGAAAGCTGGTATCTTTATAATATGAAATTAGCAAATAAAAGTTTTAGTCATGGATAAGACGGTACAACTTTATGCAGGTCTGTAAAACGACACAGAACATATCAACTTACCTTCATAATAGTGCAGTGCATCTTCCACTACTTGCTGGATACAGCTTCCTGGTAGGACATCATGGAACTGATTCAACAGCAGTAACCTTAGTAGAAAGCAAGTATAGAAAGCAAAGATAATGGCACAGACCTATTTACTTCTCTTATAGCAAAGACTGTACATGATTTTATGCAACACAGCAATGAAAAATCCTACAACCAGTTTTATAAAGGTTTTGCTTTAAAGTAGTATTCAACGCGCAAAAATGTTTTCAATTATTCCAGATCAAAACAAACATACATTGCTTTAACTTTTTGCCCAAACACTTATAAGTATTAGCTGCTTCCAAGTCTCTTAGCTCAGCTTCCCTGAACTTCCTCCCAGTACAAGATCACAAAAAACAGAGCAGACTCCAGCAACATTTAATCTACCAGCTTGGAGAATAGAGGGCGAGGGGGAGGGGAGTAGCCTGATTTGCTGTGTATGTGGAGACACACACAGCTTACTAGCACACACAAGGGTGACTGCATAGCACTCTGCTTGAGAAAGGAGTCACTCTAAAGCAGGAAATTGGGGCCAGTGCTCAGGTGACCAGCTGATTCTGCAGGAAACTAAAACTCTGAAACATCAAGAAGCAGCATCTTTTTATGTGATTTCATCAGCATTTGAAATAGCTTAAAATACTTTTGAGTTTAATATCACTTTAAGGATATGACGTTTGGCAAAAGCCTGTCAGTTGGACCTGTTCTGTAAAAGCCACAAAATTGTGGGACTTAAAATAAACAAAACTCCAATGTACCAATTATTAAGTGAGGATACCTCTGGCAGTCTTCTGCAGAGCAGCAAGACCTCAAGCAGCAGTTTTTTCAAGAGATCACATTTTGAGTATCTTTCTAAACACACATTTTCATTTAGCATTTATTTATAATCTTGTAAATCTTGTACTAAATACAGTGGCATTTTTCTGTGTTTGGAAAGAAGACTATTTTGTATTATTTAAGCATGGCACAAAACTATGCATCCCAAAAACAGTTTGCCATACCTCCAAAGATGCTGAAGCTTAGAAGTTGGATAGACAAAACTCTCATCTTTAGCCCGGGCAACAGAGCTGAGGAACTCCACATTATGTAGCAACTGCTCACATTGCCTGTTCCCCTTCTTGATCTATAAATAACAAACAAACACCAGCTTATATCCTTGCTCTTTTTTGTAAAATAATAACATGCAACAATAATGGTATACCTGTGCCTGGGTTGTGTAAGTCCCATTGTGCAGCTCCAGGAAAAGTTCTCCTACCCAGGTGCAAAGCTGAGAAGTGTTTGTCTCCAAAGCAGAGAAAAACTGGTCAGGGGTAGACAGCTGCACTCTGCAATACAAAAGTTAACAAAGTAATATAATACATAAATATTAGAGATGTTCAGATACCAAGTACCGTACTCGGTACAAGTACAGATACTTTTTGAGCTCCAAGAGTAGACTAGAGAAAAACTCAAAAGTTAGGAGGCCGCTGTCATTTGTAAGGAGCACACGGAGCTCCTGGGATTTATACATACCTGTTTTAACGTATGGGGTTTTTTTTGTAAATGTATATTAGGGATGCACCTATATTAGGGATGCATTTTTTCCAAGTACAAGTACTGATACTTATCCAAGTCCTCACAGATACAAGTACTGATACATTTTTGTTTATTGCCATGTGACAGTTTTTCTAAAACATTACAGAGTAATGATTTCAGGACAGTGGTGGAGCGCCAGAGCCAGGTCCCAGCTGCAACCTCTGCAACCCTGGTAGTTCTCGTGAAAATGCCAAGTATCAGCACTGGTATCTGAACATCCATAATAAATATACTGTATGTACGCTACAGTTAAAGAAGAACCAATATATTAGTGTGCATTCATGTATATTAATTCATTTTGGAAATAGGTGCAGGTTGTTGAAATTTTTTCCATGTTTCGGTTAAGGGATTTCACTTCTATTTTGTGTATGTGAAATAGATTATATGTTTCATGACATATACAGGGTATGTGTTGTCTGACTGTAATGTGTGTGGCTGCTTAAATATTTAACAGTTTTACCTTGCAGTGGTGGACTCATTGCTTTAATTCTGCATACACATCCTTAGATGCTTGTATGAGTTTTCTCTATGAGCTCTAGTTTCTTTCCTAAACCCAAAATAACAGCTTATCAAACTGACTTCAAACCAAATTTGCCCCCAGTGTGTGTGCGCTGTATAGGCATAGCAGGGAGAGTGTAATTTCCCTCTGAGACAGGAACTAATGTGAACAATTTACTCGGAAAGCGCTGCAGAATAGGTAGATAATGCATATTTGAGCAAATAAACGTCTAATGAAAAAAAAGACTTTTTAATTTGATTAATTTTAACTTATTCTGACCTGGGCAAGCCATCTGTGTCTTTCATCCTTTTAAATCTTCCCAACATCTTTTCAGTAGGACCTCCACCCCCATCACCAAACCCAAAGAGGACAATGCCAGTGTTCACACGGCCTTTATCACGGTTGTTTCTGACGGTTTTCAGCATCTGAAAAATTGTTTATTTCACATAGTGTAAGCATTTAAATCAAGTAACCCTAATCAAACCATTTGTTTAGTGTTGTTTAAAGAAAATAGGGATAACAGTGATTTGCAAGAACAATTACTGTATAATTCCCTATTTCCTTATTGTGTTTTTTGTGCAAAGATGAAGCTGGTTCTCTTTCCAGCAACTCACTGGTTTGAATGTCATGAAAATCTGCAAATTTTCCGTTCCACTGGCGAGTGAAACCCAGAATTGAGGTCTGACCACAGTATTTCTGTGAGGACTGCAGTACCTGAATGAACTTGAGCCTGTTTAAGATTGTGAGATATGTTTTTAAAACCCCAACATAAAAAAAACAATATATTTATCAAAATTAATGTTTTTGCTAGGGATGCACCAATACTCGTACTCGCCCAAATGCTCCGATACCTTCCACGATACCTGAACTTTCGGTCAGAGGGAGATTTCCTATGACCAGCAGTGCTGCGAGGGAACATGGAGCTGGCTTCCCGGCCAATCAGAAGGCCGGCAGCAGGTAATGACCAGGCTGTTTGGCCTGGAAGTCTGCTTCCCAGCCAATCAGCATGGAGCCAGCTTTCTGGCCAATCAGGAAGCCTAGGCGGGTAATGACATGCCGCCGGGCTTCTCGATTGCCCGGGAAGCCAGCTCAATGCTAGCAGAAGTACCGGTATTGTTGAGTACTAAAATATAAATATCGGTACTCGTACTCGATACCGGAAAATTGGTATCTGTGCATCCCGAGTTTTTCCTGATATGTACTTAAAAGCTATGGTATAACCTTTTTTTGCCATAGTTCTCTTCCGGGTCACAGGAGGACATAGACTAACACACCATAATTCTCCTTTAACCACTTCAAGATTTTAAACATAGGAAATATGTGCTAAAAGCATCAAAGCTTCTAGGACATATCTCCTAGATCCTATTCCTCTCACCTACCACTATTACCAGCAATTACTGGCTGTCAAAACAACAGCTGTGAATTGCCATGCATTACATAGCAGAAGTGGCTGTCAAAATGCAGCCACCCCAGTGTAAAATGACACCTGTAGATAGTGTCACTGAGTTTTACAGTGTAACAGTTACTGTTTCATTCAAATGTAGATCAAAAAGTGTGACATTTGATTAAACAAACCTTACCAGTAATAAAATAAAATGTATTTCTATTTAACCCTTTATTAACCCAAATCAACCCTAAATAACCCCTGCCATCTCCCTTTAGCTATTATTTTTCTGATATTTTTTTTACCACTAATATAATTGTTGCACAAAAGAAAATCTTTATTTTGTCCCTAAAAACAATGTATGCATTACTATTGTTCAAATTAATGACAACGTTACCACCAAACAGGCCCATAATGTAAATGTAAAAACTGCTTTGGTCCATATGGGGGTTTGAAGGTATGAGAGTCAAAGTAGTTAGGCATTTCAATGTTCCAAACCTAGCTACATCACCGCTGTCAAACTATAAAGATATGTACACGGAATACAAGCATTACACGGAAATGAAGCAACATACCTCCTCCACGGTGCCCTTCATTCCATAGGACTCCCCTGGAGGAAAGTGAGCTAAAACCTTGGAGCCATCAATTCCTGCCCAGTGAAAGGTATGGTGCTGCAAAAAGGCACAGTGCTGAATATGAAAACCCATAAACCCAATACAACACAAAAACACAATAACATCATTTTTATTTACTTAACATCCATTGCTAGTCATTTACACTAGAGTTTGTGATGCTCATACAATCCAATCATTAAACGCCTTGTGTTCTTTGAAAAGAATACAAGATGTTTTATGAACGCAGTGGTTGAGAGTGTGTGACCCATTGTGATTGCTGATTTCCAGCCCCGACTGTCCTTCTTATTGCCGGAAATTCAGGGGTGACATCACTTGCAAAGGCTGCGGGTACCTAAAATGTTTGAAGAAAGAAGCAGCAGCCACCAGTGGGGCACATATTATTAAACGTATCTTTTTGGTACCTAGGTAATGTCCAAATAAAGTGTTAGCCCACATATGAACTTTAATGTAGAGTAATGCAATATTGGGTCATGCCCAAAACACATACATGGTTTTCTGTATGAAAGTGCCAAAAAGAAAAACAAACAGTCTGTGTTGCTGCACTGAAACCAGATTCTGTAATTTTGTAACTCAATCATCCAACATTACAGGTGAATGTCATTAGTTGTTATGGGCAACACATTTTTTCTTTTTATTGTGCTTGTGAATATAAATAAGTCACATTTTTGTTAACAAGTAGATATATATGACTTTCTTTTAATATGACATGGCACCACATCATGACTCACAGGAAAAGCATTGACCAGACTCCAGCTCAACTTCTGAGTCAGGAAACGGTGGATCCCACAGCCGTTCATCAACTGAGGCAGCTGAGCAGAATATCCAAATGTGTCCGGTAACCAAAACTAAAAGAAGCAAGAAGCCTAAAGAAACAGAAATCTGATAACAGTGGTAAAACTATAGAAAATGTCACAGCAGTGTTATACTAAAGTGCAGTGAGCCTATGATCATTTTATACTTCTAAACATTCTGGGTAATTAAGAAAATAAATCCATAATAGGATGTTTTAGGTTACTGCATGATCACTTTGCTACAGTCAATTAACCCCATCTCTAAGGAGGACAAAGGAGTGAAATGCAATCTCAACCCTAAACAAACACATAAATTGCTGGTGAGTTGAATGACATCAGTTACTTAAATATATAACCCAGTCAAAATGTAAATGTATGCTTTGAAATGGATACAGTGAAAAAAGCCTACTTGTTCAGTACACCCAACCGCAGCTGTAGTGCCCAAAGTCATCCCACTGCCTTTTGCTGCTAATCTAATGATTTAGAAACTCCTTTTGCTTTCTAGGCTCTTATTAGCATCAAATGTGTCCTGGGGTCTAAATTCAACTGGAGAAAAAGGAAATTGTTCAGCACATATTCAGGAAGTAGACCAACCTAGCCAATACGAGAGGATTTCCCTGGACTCTGGCTGACACTCAAATTTAGGTGCATTGAAAGGTCTTTGATTTTAGCACAGCTGCTATTTTTCCTGGTGGCCATAAGCAGTTCATTGACGGATTTAATTACTGAAATTGCTCTTCAAATCTTTCGGGGAATATTTTGGTGAGTTATTTCTACCAGATTCCTAGCAGCATCAGGCTACAATGTAATTGGAAGATCCAGCTGATAAAGGATGACACCTTTGTTATGACCCAATGGAAGGAGTCAGTCTACTGCAGGGAAACATTGCCACTGGAATCCCCAAGAAATGTATGAAGCTACTTGGTGATTAAACCAGTTTTGGTTGCGATTGGTCTTTAATTTATTTCATATTTAAATTTAATCTACCTCCAATTAATAGCATAAAACTAACATAAATATCTACAGAATGTCCCTTCCTAGAAAATTGCCAATACTGTTCAAACTATAATGTGTAAACACTAATATTTAGAAACCTTCAGGCACAGCCATGCCAACATTCCACATATCAAGACCACGTTTCCATTACACGCATCTAACCTCAGAGCACATCTTGCCAAACTCCTCCTGGAAGAAGTGCTGACCCTGCAGGAACTGGCGCACCATTGACTCACCGCTGGGAAGGTTTCCATCCTATGGGACAAAGAAAAACAAATTATGGCATCCTCCAAAAACAGAGTAAAGTCGAGTTCCTCATTGTATATAAAATGTAAGCAGTGATCAGACATACCAGTACATATGAGAGTACCATTATAAGCGTGTTTCCCACCTTTAACAACATATCTCTATTTATAGAGAAATAGGACATGCTAGCACTTGGAGTACACAGGTTACAATTTAGAGGCTGTAAAAGTACTGATAGTAACCTAATAAATTCAATGATATTGTGACATTTAGCGACAGAGAAGTTCTAGGTGGTACTTTTACACAAAAAAAATATATGATCTTAGAAAAGCTCTTATTCTGTTTACAGGTCCGCTTATAAATGTTTGCGTCAGGCTTTTAGGATTATATTCTAGTATATTATTCATAGTCTAGTCTAGTATACTTATTCTATACTAGACTAGACTATGAATAAAGCAATGAGAAAATATGTGATTTTACCATTTCCACCCATGTGCCACCAACAGGAATGAACTGACCACGCTTGACATACTCCTTAATCTGTGAATATAACCCAGGATAGTGTGTTTTCACCCATTCCAGCTGCTGGGCCTGTGGAATTAGAAATGTATTAGTAATTAGTATTGGCTTGATACACATCACTGCACATTACACTTCTTTATATTATATTTTGATATATTCTAGGAAGTGCCATGACTGTTGTTACTGACAGCTGTCTTCTAAGCTATCATCTTACCAACCATTACAAAGTCACAGTGTAATTTATTCTACTAACAGTATTAGTGGCACGATGCTCCATACATGCTAACCAGCGACATGAGCACATTAAAACAATACTACAACAACAAATAGCACAAAAACAACCAACACTCTTCTTTTGCTCTGGATAGAATAAGGAAGAGTTAAAGTCACTTGTTTATTGCCATCTGTATGCTCACTGGTGTACATCCTTTATTTCTTGTCCCAGTAACGGTGGTCACCATGACAGGAGATCTCTCCAATTGGGACACAACCAGCAATAGAATAAAAAATGTGGAATGTTTAGAACCTCTGCCATTTTTTTTCCATCCTCTGCTTTTTCCTTGGGGTAATTCCCCTCTGTTCCTGTCTTACTGATAGTGGTCATGACGGAAGATCTTCCAAATACAGAGAGTAACAAAAACCTGGCAGAGATTCCAAACCTGCCTTACTACATTCAATACCCCCCCCCCCACCAAAAAAATATCAGTTAGCCTTTAACCCCTGCTTACGGCGCCCCCA